TGAAAGTGAAAGTCAATGCAAAGCCTTGCTCACTGGGGAGGAAGTTCTGCCTCTCTCCCTCTGCATTCTCTGCTATCCCTTCCTCCTCTTTCCTGCACTCAAGAAAATCCTTTTGTTTGTGTCTGCCTTGATTTCTTTCTTCAGTGTTGTGCAGTTTTCTGAGTACAGGTTTTTTTTCTCCTTGGTTAGGTTTATTCCTAGGTATTTTATTTTTCTTGTTGCTGTATCAAGTGGGATTTTATCCAGAGACACATGAAAAGATGCTCAGTATCGCTAGCTATCAGAAAGGTGAAAATTAAAACCACAATGGGATACCACTTCACACCGGTCAGAATGGCCATCATAAACAAAACAACAAACAGCAAGGTTGTGGAGAAAAGGAAACCCTAGTGCACTGTTGGTGGGACTGCAGACTGGTACAACCACTATGGAAAGCAGTATGAAACTTCCTCAGAAAAGTAAAAATGGATCTGCCTTTTGACCCAGGAATTCCACTGCTAGGATTATATCCTAAGAACACAGAAACACCAGTCCAGAAGAACCTATGCACCCCAATGTTCATAGCAGCACAATTTACAATAGCCAAGTGCTGGGAGCAACCTAGGTGCCCATCAGTAAATGAATCCCAAAACTATGGTACATTTACATAATGGAATACTATGCAGCAGAAAGAAAGAAGGAAATCCTACCCTTCATGACAGTATGGTTGCTGGAAAGCATTATGCTAAGCTAAATAAGCCAGGCGGTGAAAGGCAAATACCATATGATCTCACCTTTAACAGGAACCTAATCAACAAAACAAACAAACAGGCAAAATATAACCAAAGACCCTGAAATTGAGAATAGGATGATGGTGACCAGAGGGGAGAGGGGAGGGAATTTTAGAGGAAAAGGGGAAGGGTTTGCAGGAACAAGTATAAAGGACACATGGACAATAACAAGGGAGGGGTGGAAATGGGAGAGAGGTGGAGAAGGCGGGGTGGCTGGGCTGGGATGGGGGTAAAAGGCAGAAAACTGTACCAGAATAACAATAAAATAAAAATAAAAATTAAAATTAAAAAAATATATAAAATACTTCAAAAAAAAGAAGAAAGACCTGATACTTTAAGGAACCAAGTGACTGGGTCAAGTTCTTTCTGTCCCCAAGGAAGACTGAAGGCCATACACACTCTGTATGAATATACTAACTTCAGGGAGAGAGGGAACTCAACTTTCTATAGTTCCCAAGGATCTAAGCACCTAATCACCATCCTCCCTGGTCTAATGATGGGGACTGGACAAGGTTCTGAATGGGGCAACAAAGTTAACATTGCCTTATGAGGAGGCCTTTTGGACTAATCCGAAGCAGCATTGTTGCTCGTACATCTGAATGAGGCATAGGAATTGCAGTATTAGATGCTTACACCCCATCCTGTGTCAGAGGGGACTATCACCATCAGGGAGGGTCTGAAGTAGAGATCGCTAGTAGGATGGACAGACTCTCTGTCTTTTGTCACTAATGAGTGAGCCAGGATTCAGTGTGTGACTCTATCCTCTGACTTCAAAGTTTTCACCCTACAGATGATGTCCTGTTAGTTGGCAAGTAGGAAACATCCATCTCAAAACTCCTGACCATCACACTTGGAGCGGCAGGGGTGGCTGTTAAAACCCCAGCAAAATTCAGTGTCCTGCTTGTCAACTGAAGTTTCTTGGAACTATGTGGGCAGATTCACAAGATTCAATTCCTCTGGCACCCCAGGAAAAGTGCTGTATCTCTGGGACCACACCACCCAAAAAGAGGTTCAGCTCCTTGTTGGACTTTTGGGAACTGGAGACAGTCTGCACCTCACTTGGGCATTCAGTTTGGTCCTTGATAACAGCTAATCCACAAATCAGCATTCTCTGAGTGGGGCCCAAACCAATAGCAGTGAATGTTCTCTTTGTCTCCTACAATGAGCCTGTACTGCAGCTGGCCAAAAATCATATGGTCTGCTGCAGTCTAGAAACTGCAGCGGCTGGCATTTTGACTGCTCTGTCATTCCCATCCATTTACTATGGAAACAGAAAAACTCATGTGGGCATGGCCTCTTGGAACCATTTTGCTATGCTTAATGCCATCAAGGGCAGCTCCTGAACATGGACTCTGCCTTGCACATGTAGAAACACAAAGACCAGCACGCACTTTAAAAACTCGATTGATGTTGTACAAATGCACACGCTTCTGGCTGCTGAGCAGTCTTTGGTATGCCATGTGTAGCTCTCCAGGCTGCAACTACTCAGCAACATGACCCAGGTTTCTTTAACCAACCAATGTAATGATGATCCAAGTCAAGTTTGACAACAACTCCCAAGCTGGAGGGACTTGTGACCCCTTGGCCTACCCATTTGTATGTGGGAGAGATAGTCACGGACTATTCCTGCATCATGGATGAGCGATGCTTTGGGCAATGACACCAGAGGTAGCAGGCCAGTCTAAACTGCATGACTAATAATGGATAGCAGGCTGACTCTAGCCCTGGCTGCTGTGGCTCAGTGGAATGCGTGCCAGCCTGTGAACCAAAAGGTTGCTGGTTTAATTTCTGGTCAGGGTACAGGCCTGGTTATGGTCCAGGTCCCGATGCAGGCATGTGAGAGGCAACCGATTGATGATTCTTTCCCTATCTCCTTCTCTTCCTCTCTCTCTAAAAATAAAATAATAATAGAATTTTTAAGAAAGATTGGCTTTAGACTACATCCTGGATGTCTAAAATAACACCCAGTACTACCCTTGACAGTCACAACTGGCTGGCTGGGAACCTAGAAGTCATGATTGAGGTCAATACTGCTGGTTGACCTCTTCCTGCTTTTTGGAACCCTATTGATATTAGCCTTAACTAATGCTATATGAAACAAGTTGAACAGGTTTGGTCCCAGCATCTGTTGATCAGATTAAGCAGGGTGGTCAATATATGAAAACTCAAGTCTGGCTAAGAATGTTATAGGGTCAAAGGGTGGATTATCCTTGGAAAAGACAATTTACTACAGACCCTTGAGTATCCCTGTATATTTCTGTTGTAGGTATGCCAAGAATGCAAGACCCTGATCAATCTTTACCCAGGTTATTTCTCAGCATTGTGTTTGTAGTGAGCGGCCTTGAGGGATAAGGCAGTGCCTCCTTCTGGAACAGAGAGCGGGCTTACTGGTTGCTTGCTGTAGCAGAGGCAGATTCCTTAAACTCGATGTTCCTAGGTTTGTGACGTGAACGTGTCTGCATGCACACTCATCTAGGTGCCCCCATATTGTCCCTGTGGGGTTTGGGAGATTAGGAAGAACCGATGCAAACATGTTTATGCTGCTTACTGTGCCATGAGAAATCGAGAGCTTTGTCTCTGACCCTGTAGTCTCACATCTTCTGCAGGTATATAGGAAGCAGTGAGGTTGACTAGTACAAGGAATGGGTACTGGTCACTAGATGGAATAACTGGAGGGTAGAGATGGTTCATCTTATAATAGGAGGGAAGGAAGTTATATGGATACAGATGTGTTGTTAATAAGTCCAAAGGTTGAGAAAGTTCTTTTCTTATTGTTTCCATTTTCTCAGTGAAAAAATAAACAAGCTGAGAATGAGGAGGATAGGCAGCCTGGGTAAAGAGGAGGTGTGAAATGCTTGGGGAGAAGGTGTGAAATACTTGGATAAGGTCTGAGCAGAGAAGGTGTGAAATACTTGGGGAGAGGTTAAAATGTATGACTGTCACAGTGCTGTGGACACTTGATTTTCAGGGCTATAAATTTTAAGTGAAAAGATGCAGCAGGTTAGATCCCTCTCCCCACACCCAAGTTCATTTGGCTGTTTAGGGGCAGATGCAGAGCAGGTGAAGTAGTTGGAAACGAGCAAGATTTGAATGTTCAGTTCAGAGGACAAGATTATCCAGGGTACATGCAAGGAAAGGGAGGTCTCTGCTAGATGAAGAGGAAAGGGAGAGTGATGGAGTGACAGGCAAGGGATAGGTGATGAAATCAACTGGAGATCCTGCTAGTCAAGAATTGTTGGACTAGGCATTAATATACAGTGTGACTTAGAAAGAGGGGTGAGTAGGATTTCGGAAGTTGAGATATTGGAGGTAATTTTAAGATTTACAGCCTTGTTTTCATTATTGAGTCATGACATTAATTTGGTGGGTCAGTTTCTCAATTAGCATTTTAAATCCTTGCTACACATTAGAATCATCTAGAGAGAGAAAACAACCCACACCTAACTCCCAGAGTTTGATTTATTTGGATGATGTAGATTTCAGAAATCAGTTTTTCATTAAATTTGTCCAGGTAACTCCAATGTGCAGGCCTGCCAATAACCATTGTTCCAAGAAAATACTGACATAAAAAGAATGATACAATTAATGGTAGGAAGTCAGTATACCAGGTACTAAATTATTCTAATAATTGGAAGGGATATGAGATCAGATGTGTGATAAATTGTAACAGGTGAGGGAGCAGGGGGCATAGTGGATGGTAATTCTAGTTCTCAACAAAAAACATCTGCAAGAGAGAAAAATGTGCACACACGAAGCTATTTAACCATTTTGTAGATGAGTTTCAAACAGAAACTATAACTTAATTTCTTATATTTTGAACTGATTGAAAATAAATTAAAGTCAGTAAAAAAAAAAACCTCAAAACTGCCTGGCACCTAAGTTCAGATAATTCCCCACATCTCACCATGATAAAGTTTGATTTGAATAGACTACTTAATTTTATAATTACAAATATTGCCAAAATTATTGAAAAGCTAGCTGTAAGAAAGAGAAAATAAATTGACTGGAATGTTTACTGGAAAATCTATGTCAAGCTTCATAATTTAAAACAAATTAAAAACATCTACAAAAGTTCGGAACATTCGGTATTTTAAGATAAAACTAATTTTAGAAAACTGGAGTGTCATGGTTATAAAAGCAACGTTTATGGCAAGAAATACATTTTTAATTACAGAAAACATTAAAAATAAAATACATCTAACAAATATGTACAGCTGTTGCTTTGGGGGACAAGTTGGAAAATATTTTTATTTTATTCACATATATTTATTTATTAAGAGATTTTCCATTAGACATTGCAAATAGTCCATTTTTCTTGTATGTTGCTATAATACATGGATTCACACAAAGGACATGGAATACATAAAATCACAAAGATGGTGGCAAAGTAAGGCACATCACACTCAATACAGACTGAATTACTGCAAAGGGTGTAACTCAGACAGAGAAGGCACAGTAGTTTTGGAGAAGGAGCACCACCTACCTCCAGGTACACACAAATGCACACACACAACCTCCCCTTTATTAAACCACAAGAGGAAACAGAAGGTATCATAAATAATTGACCTTCCACTTCCTATGTTAAAAGTTTTTTTTTCAATCATAATGAAATTTATTAGAGAATAGGATTTTCTTCAAATGTATATAGTTCAAACACGATTAGTTTTTGTATCCAATTTTCTATTTTATACTACTGTTATTTTATTAATATATGCATATATCTATATTCTTTAAAATTAAAACTTTAAAATTTAATTGTAAAAAGCTGTTTTCTAATTAATATGCCATAGTTCAGTGCTTACATACCATTCTGGAAGGCTGATTAAATTACAACATATCAGTTTAGAAACAAAAATCTAATGTTATTAAATGTATTTGGAATTTTAGAAAAATATTTTACTATATTCACCCCAAATACTTTATATTATGAAATTTTAGATTAATACAAGTGAAGAATTTTATTTACTGAAAAAAGTCCCAAATTTCTGTTCTATGGTTTTACGAAGTTTTGAATGCAGCTTTAGTTTGATTTTGATAACATTTGTATTTTGTGAAGAGTCCACATGACGGCGAAAATTATGTTGTGTTTAATATATGAATGTGTCCATTGCAGTTCTTCTAGTTGGCAGTAACAAATTATATATAGTAATCGTTATCTTTCAAGACCTCTGCTATTGTAAGAACAGACCTGAATATATTCCCCTCAATGATAGACAGCAAATTGGCAAGTAATTTTACATTCAGAACAAAAAAGCTAAGCGTGACTGCATGACATCAAAGTTGATAATCCTTTGGGCATGTGTTGAAGTTATGGCTTATAAACATATGAAAACTAATAACATGTTAAAACAAGTACTATAAGACTATTTATATACAAATATCATGGCTCATAAAAAGATTATTAAGCATAATGTGAACAATACATTATATTATTTCACAGTATAAACACACTTTGAGGAGTAATTTAAGTCAGGAATAATAAAAATACAGATATAACATCAGTAAGCACTATTAATATATATTTTGTTCTGTCATATGTATGAAAATATACATAGGTATAGCTCTTTTACACCAATTTTTAACATAAATATTCACTGATTTAAATAAAAGTTGACAGAGGTAGAATTTGTATCAATGTTCATGATTTTCAGGAACTTCAAACACATCATTACTGTTCTGTCCTCTCACAAGTCCATACAGCCACTCATTGAAAGTCGTCATTCTGAAAAGGCAGGGAGGGGACAGGTGGGTTAAGAGAAAAATGAACAACCAAGTTACTCAGTACAGCATGGAAAACTGAAATTCAGTAATGTTTTCATTAAAACTAGAGTCTCTAATAAAACTTCTGCTTACAATTAAATTATATTTAAGGTTTAAGAAGCACTGTTCTCTGCTTCAAGAAGATGTTCCCTTCAAACTACCACAGCACATCAAAACGCACAAGGACTAAGAGAAGGACACGTGGTAACAGATCGGAATAAGGGCATGTTAACTGAGAAAAATCACTCAGAATCAGGGGTAACATGATGTCTAAGTTAAATAAAATTGTAGACAAATACTGGAAATTATGTTGTTTAAGTCTTTGAATGTTACGGAAAGCAAATATTTTTCAAAAGATTTTCACCTTATGTGCTATCTAATCATCCTCCCAAATGAAAACACACATATTAAAATGTGAAAAATCCCACATTGGCAACATTGGAAAGCAATGATATTTTCTGTACTGAGGAAGACATACTTCAGAGGATGTTACCAGACACGCTCTCTAATACTGATGTAAAACATTATTGATAAGAGAAAAAATGGGAAACAAGTATGTCCTGTAAGAGGAGAATGATAAATAAATCCCAGAATATCCATGTGATAAACTATTAGTTCACTGTTTTAAAATGGCATTTTTGAAAATGCTTTTAATGATATCCATAAATCCTCACAACAGTATTGGGAGGTGGGGAGGAACCACAAAGAACAAAACAGAACAAAAAAAACAGGGTAAAAACTGACTCAAGTATGATCTCTGTTAGAATTATATATGGGTGTCTATGCATGTGTGCATATGTTAACTACAGATTAAATACAAGAAGGAAGTGTATCAAAATGCTGATTGCTATTTTCTCTGGGTTGTAGGATTAAAAGCGATTTTGATTTGTATATCCATGTTAGTAGCAGTGTTTTCATAACAGCAACCCAAGTGTCCATCAACTGATGAATGGATACACAAAATGTGGTGTGTATGTACACTGGCATATTCTTCAGCCTTAACAAGAAAGGGAATTCCGGGAGAAGCTCCAACGTGGGTGAACCCTGAAAACGTTATGCTAAGTACCATCAGCCAGTCACAAAGGACAAACACTGCAGGGTTCCATGTATGTGAGGTGCACAGGACAGGCAAGTTCATAGAGACAAACTGTAATGGCGCTGGGTTAGGGGCTGGGGCCACGGGAGAATGGGGAATTAGCAGCTGCTGAAGATAAAGTTCTGAGGTTGGATAATAAAAATCATTTGTGTAACAATGGAAATGTACTCACTGCCAGAGAAGTTTACGCTTGCAAATGGTTAAAATGATAAATTTAATGTTATATGTATTTTCCATATAAAAGTGTAAAGAAACTGATTTTGATTTATACTTCGTTATACTTTTGTATTTTGTTTTTTTTCAGTGAGCATGTATTAGATATAATGATCAAAAAAGTAAAAACCAAACTGGGTTATATATTTTAACCATTATAGACACTGTAAATATGAGCTGATATGACTATTTCATATTCATTTTTTAGTACTTATGGGGAAATTCCTTAAAACTAGTTTTGGTGACAGTATTTAGAAAATATGAATGGAAATGGGTTCCAATTAACAACATCAGTAGGATACCTTGGGACTTGCTAATGGTTGTATAAGAGTCTAATTCACCTCCACCATGATGTTTATAATAAAAAAATAAAAAATAACAAGGGTTGACAAGATCTGAAAAACCAGAGCCCTTGCACTGCTGATGGAAATGTATAATGGTACAGCTGTGTGAAAAAGCTTGTCAGGTACCCAAGAAGTTAAACATAGAATTTTCACACGACCCATATGATAGCAATTTCTACATGGTAACAATGTTTTCAGCAGCATTATTCACAACAGCTAAGCAGTGAAAACAATCCAGGTGTCCATCAACTGATGAATAAATAAACAAAATGTGGTGTAAGCATACAAAGGAATATTCTCCAGGCATAAAAAAGAACGAAGTTCTAAGACACTCTATGACATAGATTGAACCTTGAAAGCATTATCTGAGGTGAAATGAGGCAGACACAAAAGGGCAAATGCTGTATGATTTCACTTACATGAGAACCTAAATAGGCAAATTCATAGGGACAGAAAAGTACATTCGAGGTTACCAGGGGCTGGGGAAGGGAGGCCAGGGGACTGAAGCTTTCTTGCTTCCTAGATGCAGAGTGTCTGTTTGGGATGATGAAAAAGTTTTAGAAATAGTGGTGATGGCTATACAACACGGAGTTTTAGGCCACTGAGTTTTCACTTAAAAATAGTTAAGATGGCAAAGTTCATGTTATATACATTTTATTGCAATTAAAAAATGTTTTCTAATTCATCACATCTTTAGAGATTGCTAGAATCCACTAAGTTCTGTATCAGTGATTCTTAAAATATAGTCTGGGGATTCCTGGAAGTCCCCGAGACTCTTTCACGGGATCCTCACTCATTCCTTCCCAGGAGCACTGTGGGGTTTCCCGCAGGCTACGTGATGCAACAGGCCAAGCGGTAAGTATTTTAGATTTGTGTGCCACCAGGTCTCTGTCACAACTACATACATACTTTTCAGACCATAAGATGCCCTAGGTTTTAGAGGAAAATAAGATAAAAAGAGTTTGAAGCAAAAAATGTGGTAAAACATTTAATAACATAAATAACATAATATTTCACCAATGTAAATGTAAACAGAACTCAACAGCAGCATTAATAACCATTATTCCTCCCAAATTTGGGGGGGAAAAAGTGCATCTTATAGTCTGAAAAATACAGTAATTCTGCCACTGTAGAAAAGCCGTCTCACACAGTATGTATACAATGGGTGTGACTATGCTCCAATAAAGCTTAATTTACAGAAACAGGGAGTAGGAAGACTTGTCCCACAGGCCTACCTTACCACCCCTGAGGTAAAATGCAGCTGCGGATCAGACATGAGAAAATGTTAGTCACAACTGTTACGCAGCTTCATAACAAGAAATTGAACCTCCACCTAATCACATTCAAATTAATGCAGCAGGCAGAAGTTGTGAGGACACAGTGATTGCAGCCCGCACTGAGAAGTGGTCCTCAAAGTGACGAGGAAAGTAAATGTTTTACTCAAACAAACAAACAAAAAAGCAAAAGCACAGCAATCAGAAATCATTTAAACACAGACCCTTCAAATACCAATAAGCCCTGGGAGCATCTGTATGTTAAAGCAGAGCACATAGCTAATGTTATAAGGAGATTCTGAGGCATCGAGGAAATGCTTATCTCCTATGTACTTCTATGAAAAGAAGCAAAAAAATGCATATTTTTTTGAAAAACTGACTTTACCATTTCTGTAAATGAGCTTGTACTTTTCACAGTCACCTACCTCTGAAACCCTGACATGCTTCTTTCCCATTTGCTCCTGTCTCCACTGAATGGGCACACTCTTTGATTCCCTCAGTCTAATGTGTCCCAGCACTCTGGAAAACCATCCTGCCATGCCCACTCAGGGCCAAACATGTGCATGTCCCATGACCTGACAAGCCCTGAACATGTATGTTCAGTGACCTGACAATTTCACTCTGAAGTATATACCCAAAAGAAATGCACGCTTCTGTTCACCAGCATACAGGTGCCAGAATGATCATAACTCTTTGTCGTAGCCTGGACTAGAAACTACCAGTGTCCATCAACAACAGAATGAGAATAAGGGTTGCGGTAAATTAATGTAATGGAAATGCAATGCAGCAGCAAGACTGAGCAATCTACAAATGCACCCAATAATGGGATGAATCTCAGAAATGTACTGTTGAGGCAAAGAAGCCATAAATATATCATCTCACTTTTAAAATGTCCAAAAAGAGGCCAAACAATGTATGCTCTTAATAGAACGGTTACTTTTAGAGCAGAGCTTATGACCAGAAGGGAGCCCCAATGAGATGCTTTGTTTCTTGCCCTTAGTACAGGTTGCATAGGAGTGTGTGCCCAGTTTGTAAAAATCACTGAGCTGTGTATCATGACACGACACTTTTCTGTGTATGTAAGTTATTTTTAAAGTCTGCCCTGGCCAAGCCGCTCAGTTTTCAGAGTGTGGTCCTGCCACACCAACGTTATGGGTTTGATCCCCAGTCGGGGCACAATCAAGAATCAACCAACAAATGTATGGTAAGTAGAACAACAAATTGATGTTTCCGTGTCTCTCTCTAAAATCAATTTTTTAAAAAATCTGCCCTAGCTTTCGATATTATTATACTGATCCTGAGCTGACTACACTGTTCATTTCATATCTCTTTCTGGTCTCCCTGCCTCTGGCTTCTACCCTCCTCAATAAAACCCAAATACAATTTTGAAGTTAATCTGCCAAGAACAGTTCTTTCATCTTAATGCCTCCCTTGCTTGCATCCTGTACACAGGAAGACCTTCAAAGGCTCCCCCTGACTTACACAATAGTAAGTCTACAATCTCTAATATAGTTTCACATTAAATCATTATAAACATCCCGCTCCGTCTCCACACCTTTATCTCTCATTATTCCCCAACAACCTGCCATTCCAACCAGATTCAGTCTATTGTGTCACATACATTCCTAACCTTGAACCTGGCACTCCATAAACCATTTCTCTGTGATGTCTCACATTGTCATGGAGGTTTTACAGTCATATATACCCATGTAACCATTACCACCAAACAGAACGTTCCATCATTCCCACCAAAGGTGGTCAGAAATTCCCCCTGACCACTACTGTACACAATCTCCCTGCCTCCCCCGGAATGCTACATCCTGATTTTTTATAACCACAGATTCATTTTGCTTGTCCATGGTGTTACATACACACCTTTCTGATAATTGTCAGTTCATGTGTTCAGGAGAATGTAAAGGAGACTTCAGAGTAGAACTAAGAGGTGGCGTGGGAAGACCATGTCGACGCATCTCTTGGATTGCTCGTTCTCTGCCAAATAGATCAAATAAGGGATTATACCAAAAAGGATTACACAAATATAAGGCACTGTTATTGTTGTTAATTAATAATTTCTACTCCATTTCTACTTCTACTAAATTTAAATCCCATGTCTTTATGTGATTTTTAAGTAGCAGATAAAAAAGACTTCAATGAAAGGAACTGTACTATTATAGAAGACTGTTCAAAGCCCCTCTGAATACAGGTTTCCAAAGTTGTATGGTTCCCCCTCTTCCCCTTCCTTTCCCACCTCTTCTTGAATACAAATCTAGCCTTCTTCCTGCCTCAAAACTCCCAAATGTCAGAAGTAAAGTAACCCGTTCTTTGTTATGCTTTCCTTCCCTGTGTCTGTGTATGCCCCATGAAGCATGGGGACTGCATTGCCACCTTCTTTGGGAGCTATGCATACCTCTGGCCTGGACTTCTTCTGTCTCGAGTTCCTCAGTATCCAAGATTTCTTCCTAGTTGGGGGATTTGCAATCTAACTCCTTCCACTATTATTTCCCTAAAGAAACTTTTATACGTATTCCACCCCCCCTCCAAATTATCTCCACACTCTATGAAATTTTAACACATTGGTACATTGCTTACACACTGTGGCCCTCTGGAGGGCCATCAAATACTGTAATACCTCAGGGCTTTTGCTACTCAAAGAACCAATTTTTCCCATGGGGTGGCAGCAATATTGTCCTTTTAAGAATGCACCATCTAGTTGAATGGTGAGAAGGAAAGACATGGTCATGTAGGTCAAGATTTTTTGGGGACTGGGGTAAGGAAAAAGGAGAGAAATTAAGGGGGCCTATAACCGCAGGCAATAGAGAACTTGACTTAGGAGCCTTGAATTGAAAGAATTTATCATGAAGAAATGGAAATCATTATATATACAGTTTAACATTTTAAGAACCTAGGTCTTCCAAATTACGAGATAAAAAACACACCTTTCATGACACTTATGCCATCTCAGGCTTCATTTCCCACTAAATCATATTGAATTCCTAGCAAATTCTGTCTGTACTTCAAATAGCACATCACTGATGCCAATGGATAAGAATGAGAACTCAAAAACTGACCTAATAAGCTATTTGAACATTATTTGAGAATCAAATCTCAGAAATGTTGATATCCATGGCATTAATCTAATAGGAAAAAATAATGGAAGAAAAGAAATGTGACAGGTAACTTGCAAATTAGACTTTGATTTTAACTGTTAAAACAGGTATCATTCCTGATTGTAACACTTGGGGATCAAAATTTTTAACATAACGAAGGATATGAACTAAAGTTTAAGTGAGTATGAAAATTACTAAGGTGTACCCTGACTGGTGTGGCTCAGTTGGTTGGGCATCGGACTGCAAACTGAAGGGTCACTGGTTCAATTCCCAGTCAAGGCACTTGCCTGTATTGCACATTCGGTCCCTAGTTCGGGTGCCTATAAGAGGCAGTCAACTGATGTTTCTCTCCTTTTTCCCTTCCCCTCTCTCTAAACATAAATAAATAAAATCTTAAAAAAAAATTACTAACGTGTAGCCCTGGCTGGTGTGGCTCAGTGGATTGAGTGTTGGCCTGCAAACCAAAGGATCACCAGTTCGATTCCCAGTCAGGCACATGCCCAGTCAGGCACATTGCAGGGCACATGTGGCACGAGAGAGGCAACCACGAATTGATGTTTCTTTCCCTCTCTTCCTCCCTCCCTTCCCCTCTGTCTAAAAGTAAATAAATAAAATCTTTTAAAAAATTACTAAGGTGTAGAGAATATATTGTAGAAGTTAGGAGAATAGGCTTTAAAATTACCTGCCTGAATTTCATTCTTCACTCTGCTATTTACTATTTGTGTGACCCCAGTTTCCTATAATATAGGCATAATAATAAACTGTTTTGACTCTTGTGGAATCCTTACTAGCTTGTTCATTTGCTAACTATATCCTCTAAAATAATGCCCTAATTTTGCCTTGAGAAACACTATGGGAAACATTAAAATAATACTTGCTACTTTATTTACTATAAGGTATATTATCTTCCACAACACTTGTTGCCTCTTTAAGAAGAAGTACTAAAGAAATTTATTTTGAGTATTAATGCTAAAAGAAAAAGTTTGCTATTTGTAAACCACATTAAATCCTTTTTAGACTGGGATAGGAAATAAATAAAAACACTGTCTAATGCTAAAAATTTTTCTTACCGTTCGTATCTTTCTGTTGCAATCTGCCTTTTCAGGGTGTCGTGATCGGTTTGTAACTGTACCACTGTAGCCCGAAGCATGGTGTTCTCCCGGCTCTGACTAGTTCTTAGAAACAAATTTTAAAAGTCAAAGAAATAAATAACGAATGTTTTGTTTTATACAGTTAAGTGCTACAGATTTTTGTTTTTGTTATTAATAAATATAGAGGAGATAACACTTAAGGGGGAAAAAAAGAGAAGGTCCAGACTTTCAACTGTAATTCTCTAAACTTCTGGAGCTTCTATTATAAAGTTTACTTTTTGTGCACGTCACTTATCTAATAAACATTTACTGAGCCTGCACCATGTGCTAGGTGTGGTAGCAATGCTGTGGTAGCAATCTGAGTAAGACACGGACTGGAACATCTAGTTGAAGGAAAGTATCTTCACTGGCTCTTTCTTGACCCTTGCCTCAGAAAGAAATATTTCTAACTCTTTTTAAAAATGTGTTATTCCAGCTCTGGCTGAGTGGCGCAGTTGGTTGGAACGTCCTCCCGTGCAACAAAAGGTGCAGGTTCCATCCCCGGTCAGGGCACATACATAAGTTTCAGGTTCAGTCCCAGGGTAGAGAGCATATGGGAGGGAACTGATCAATGTCTCTCTCTCACACTGATATCTCTCTCTCCCTCTCTCCTGCCCCCTCTTCTCTCTCTCTAAAGTCAACTAAAAAAAATATCCTGGTATGAGGATTTGAACAAAAAAACAAAAAAAATGGTTAATTACTCCATTTGTACTATCGACTCAGGTTTCCTCTCTTCTTCCAACAAATATGCTTAAAACATCTCCATTCTAAAAAGATACCATCATCAATCTCCTAAAAGGTAATCAATACACACTAGGGTCAAATTGCACAGCTTTTCTGAAGTCTTTTTCCCAGCCCACAGGGTGAGACACTGCTAACACTCCCTCGTTAAATGCTCTCTCCTTGGCTGACTCCTCTCTTCCTTGCTGAAATGGAGGCATTTTCCCAAAGTTCACTCCCTGACTTCCATGGGAACCACCTCTGTGGTGAAGATACATAAACCAGCACCTCCAAACATGATGTCTCTTCTGAACTAAACCCCTAAACTTCGAAAGCAGCAGCCACATGAGCCATATTTTGGTTTTTATTACACTTCATATACCCATTATCCTCTCCCTCCAAAAGTTGAAAATATTATGGGTCCACCAGTGTTTTTTAATTATTTGTTTTATGCTACAAATCTACAAAAAATTTACTCATATTAAAAAGTATTTTTGAGAAGCTATTTTCCTCACATGGATTGATTTATGACACTTACAATTTGCTTTCTGAAAGGGTTAACTTCTCTTTAAGTAGCTGAATTTCTGTATCCTTCTCATGGGAGTTTAAGTGAGAATGAAATTCTTTATCCCTATTTGTAGCCAACAATGATTCAAGGTTTTTAATTGTATGTCTCTCACTCGACAGTTGTTTTTTTAACAGCTCTGATTCTGATTTTATATTTTCTAATTCCACCACAACCTGCAAGAAAAACAAAGTAAGATTGCTTCAGTACAATTTCAGACTTACTCTGAAAAATTACCTGCAGGGCTATGAACACAGACATCAGTTCCTTCATTTTGGGTATTGGTTAAAGATTCCTGAACCACTGTTTCAGTATAAGAAAAGCATCTTATTTCCAAAATCATCTTTGCTATTTTAGAAAAGACTTGTTTGGCTATTTTAAAAAGGACTCCAAACTTCAAACAGTTTTTTCTAGTACTATCTTGTCAGGACAGGGTCATTGCCATAAAATTTTAAAATACGGCCACCCTATCAGCAAGGAGGCCCTTCTGCTCTATTAAATCTGAGTCCTCTGACTACAGAGTCAAGCCAGTACCTGAAAACTAGTATGTTAAACGAGTAAAACCTAAAAACACTGATGTTTGAAAACACACACTGTGTTGTTTAAAGTAATGCTTCAGTTTGGGAACGAGAAATTCCAGCTAACTAGACTTTCAGAGATTAAAATTCCTTGAGATTTTTATTAGAAAAAATATTCTACTTAAGAAGCAGTGAAGTGCTCATTCTTCCATTTAAGTCTTACTTTTAAACAGAGAAAGAATGTATTGGGATATGCCCCTGTTCTATGATGAGAAGACTAATATTCTCCTAAACATGCATCTACTCTAAAATAGCACCTAATTTCATCACCATGTTTACCAAAGAAATCTTGGCAAAGAATCTAGTAGTCAAATTTAGTTCTCGAAATCCTGCAGTCTAAAGTAGTTCCTCCAGCCCTGATCAGGGCGGATTAGATGGTTGGGTGATGTCCCGCAAACTGAAAGGACACTGGTTTGCTCCCAGTCAGGGCACGGGCCTGTGTTGCGGTTCAGTCCCCGAGTCGGAGCGCATACAAGAGACAATAGATCCATGTGTCTCTCACACTGATGTTTCCCTCTCTTTCTTCCTCTCTTACCCTCTCTCTAAAAATAAATAAATCTTTTTAAATAAGTAACTACTCCAAAGAGGAACAAATATATTAGGTACTAAATGATAAAGTAAGATAATTAGTGTAGGGCTGAATAAAACCATGTGTTAGGACAATAACTTATAAATGCTTACCCTCTCTAATTCAAGGTTTTTAGCATTCAATTGCTGGGTCAGAATGTCTTTGCCCGAATCAAGCTTAATACAGAGTTCTCTGAGAGATGACAGATCACTGAATACTGCTGCTTTCTCATCCTCTTGCTGTCTCAGCTCTTCTTCCAATCTAGATATGGCTTTTGTCATTGACGAGATCTGAGCTTCATAAGCATGATGTGCATTTATGTGCTGAAAATAAAAACAGAAACAGGTAAAAGTTAAAGTAACCCAATAATTTTAAAGGCTTGGATCTGTGCAGCTACAACCTCACTTTATAAAAACATAAGCCAATGTCTACATATTTTAAGACACTCTAAAGAAGTTGCCTGCTATTTAAAGATAGCATATTTCATGCGTAACAAAATAAACTGTATATAATTATTCATCATGGTACTAAGTACTTCCTGTTATAGATTTAGAAAACACAAAAATAAAAATTATTATTGTAGGGCTTCCAGCCAAAATGGAGGTGTAGGTAGACACACTGTGCCTCCTCACACAACCAAAATAAGGACAGCAACAATTCAGAAACAAGATAACAACCAGAACTGACAGAAAATTGAACTGTATGGAAGTCGGACAACCAAGGAGTTAAAACAGACACGTTCATCCAGACTGGTAGGAGGGGCAGAGTCGGGCAGCTGGGAGGAGAGGGGTCGTGGCACAAAAAGCGGTGAGACCGGGGGCATTAAGGCATCCGGAGCCTGCAAGACTGCAGCGGGCAAACCCTGGGCATGCAGGCCACGGCTGGCAGACCTCGGGCCCAGAGTGGCAACAGGGCAGACCCAGCGAGGTGGTGATTGTGAAGCAAGGCACTGCTCACAACCCAGGGTCTCAGCGCTGGGAAATAGAGCTTCGGGGCACTGATTGAAAACACCTGTGGGGGGTTGAAGCGCAGGGAGAGACTCGTAGCCTCACAGGAGAGTTCGTTGGAGAGACCCACAGGGTCCTAGAACATGCACAAACCCACCCACATGGGAATCAGCACCAGAAAGGCCCAGTTTGCTTGGGGGAAGTGGCAGAAGGGACTCAAATCCGGCAGAGAGTGGAGCAAGAGCCATAGTTCTATTTCGAACCCCGCCCCCACATACAGCGTCACAACCCAGTGCTGGGTTGCCCCACCCTGGTGAACACCTAAGGCTCTGCCCCTCATACGTAACAGGTGTGTCAAGACAAAAAAAAAATGGCCCAAATGGAAGAACAAATCAAAGCTCCACAGCAAATACAAATAAGTGACTAAGAGATAGCCAACCTATCAGATGCACAGTTCAAAACACTGGTGATCAGGATGCTCACAGAATTGGTTGAATTTGGTCACAAATTAGATGAAAAAATGAAGGCTTCGCTAAGTGAAATGAAGAAAAATGCACAGGGAACCAATAGTAATGGGAAGAAAACTGGGACCCAAATCAATGGAGTGGACCAGAAGGAAGAAAGAAACAACCAAACAGAAAAGAACAAAGAAAGAATTCAAAAAAATGAAGAGAGGCTTAGGAACCTCCAGGACATCTTTTAAATGTCCCCACATCCGAATCATAGGGGTACCAGAAAGGGGAAGAAGAAGAGCAGCAAGTGGAAAAGTTATTTAAACAAATAATAAAAGAGAACTTCCCCAATCTGGCAAAGGAAATAGACTTCCAGGAAGTCCAGGAAGCTCAGAGAGTCCCAAAGAAGTTGGACCCAAGGAGGAACACACCAAGGTACATCATAATTACATTAGCCAAGGTAAAAATGAAGGAGAGAATCCTAGAAGCAGCGAGAGATAAGGAGACAGTAACCTATAAAGGAGTTCCCATCAGACTGTCAGCTGATTTCTCAAAAGAGACCTTGCAGGCAAGAAGGGGCTGGAAAGAAGTACTCAAAATCATGAAAGGCAAGGGCTACATCCAGGATTGCTCTATCCAGCAAAGCTGTCATTTAGAATGGAAGGGCAGATAAAGTGCTTCTCAGATAAGGTCAAGTTAAAGGAGTTCATCATCACCAAGCCCTTATTTTATGAAATGTTAAAGAAACTTAACTAAGAAAAAGAAGATAAAAAACATGTATAGTAAAATGACAGCAAACTCACAATTATTAAAAACACACCTAAAACAAAAACAAAAACTAGCTAAGTAAACAACTAGAACAGGAACAGAACCATAGAAATGGAGATCACATGGAGGGTTAGCAATGGGAGAGTGGGAGGAGGAGAGAGGGGGAAAAGATACAGAAAATAAGTAGCATAGATGGTAGGTAGAAAATAGACAGGGGGAGGGCAAGAATAGTATGGGAAATGTAGAAGCTAAAGAACTTATGACACATGGACATGAACTAAAGGGGGGGATGTAGGTGAGAGAGGGTGGAGGGGAATGAAGGGGGGAAATGGGACAACTGTAATAGCATAATCAATGAAATATATTAAAAAATAAAAGCATATAAAGACAGGAAAAAAATCATTATTGTAGGGTATTGTGAATATAAGAGATCTTTGAAGTTATATTAAATTTTACTTCATAAATTCTTTGTTATAATAATGCCTTTTCAAGAAAACATATATACAGGGTGGGGCAAAAGTAAGTTCACAGTTGTTCATATGGAAAATAATATAATAATTAATAATAGTACTAGAATAAGCTGTATTTCGTGTACTCAAAACTGTACACCTACTTCTGAATTTTAAAAATGGAGTTTGCTTTAAAACCAAATACCTAAAGTTATATTTATATTTAATTTAATAACATACTACTTTATAAGATATTAATAACTGAAATAATAAGCAAATTTTGAAATACTGATATTTTTTCTTGGAAATACATGCAATTTAAATTTCTTACCATTTAAATTTTCAGTATTAAACAAAAACTGACTTAAACTCTACTTCTAGAGTTTATGAACAAGTCCATACTTGAAAACGAATTCAGAATGACTCTACTGAAATGAATCAACATTAAAAATCAAATACTATGTGTACAGATTTAATAAATGTCAACAGTTGAAGAAAAACTAAATTTTGGATTTTCCAAATATTAATGAATTAATAAAATCAAAGGTTTCCGCAAACTCAATATAAATATGTAAATCAATTTCATGCACCACACACATGAACAATGACAGAGAACGAAAGGAAGTTTCTCCTGAGAGCTCTTTTGGAGGTTCGGAAGCATGCTTTTAGTTATACTCTTAATAGAAAGCTTACAGAAATGGTGTATCCGCTTCCTAGGACTGCTGTAACAAATTACTGCAAATTATTCGGTGTTCTAAAACACTGAAAACGTATGCCCTTCTAATTCTGGAGGTTAGAAATCTAAAATTTAGACGTCAACAGAGTTGGCTTTTTCTGGAGGTTCTGAGGGTGAATTTGTTCTGTGCCTCTCCCCATCTTCTAGTGGCTGCTGACAATCTTCGGGGCTCCTTGCCTTGAAGATGCATCGCTTGGATCTCTGCCTCCATCTTTCCCTGCCATTCTCCCTGTGTCTTCTGTGTCCAGATTTCTTGTATCTTATAAGGTAGTGATTTTCAACCCTTTTCATCTTGTGGCACACGTAAAGTAATTACTATAATTCTGTGCCACACCAAAAAATATGTTTTTTGCCAACTGGACAAATAAAAATAGGTATAATATTGATTCATTCATACCAGATGGCTATTGTGTTGGCTGCTGTCATTTTTCTATTTGACAATCTAAGGGAAAAGAGATTAGTGCCCCTAATTAAATAGTCAGGTATTGCAATGTTTTAAAAATTCTGTGGCACCCCGGCTGAAAATCACTGTTACGAGGACACAAGGCATTGGTTATGGCCTGCCCTAATCTAGTGTAACCTCATTTTAACCTACTTATAACTGCAAAGACACCGTTTTCAAAAAAGATTATATTCACAGACAGGTACTTGGGGCTAGGACTTAAATATATGTTTTGGAGGGCTTAAGTCTACCTATTATAAAAAACTCAGAAAAATAACAAGTGGAGAAACTGAAATCCTTACATGGCTAGTGGGAATGTAAAATGGTGTAGTTCTTGTAGAAAATTGTATAAGAGTTCCTCAAAAAATTAAACATAAAATAATCATATGCTCCAGCAATTCCCCTTGTAGGTATGTTCTACAGAAACCGAGGACTCACAGAGATACTCTGCAACCATGTTCACAGCGGCATTACTGTCAATGGTCAAAGATGGAAACAACCATATGTCCACTGATGAATGAATGAACAAACAAAATGTGGTTTCTACATACAATGCAGTATTATTCAGCCTTAAAAAGAAATGAAATTCTGACACATGCTAAAACATTCATAAACTTGAGGTTAAGTGAATTTTATGGTCAAGTAAAACAAACCAGTCACAAAAACCAAATATTGTATGATTCTACTTATAGGAGATACTACACAGAGTAGTCACATGCACAGACAGAGAAAGCAGAACGGTGGCTGCCAGAAGCTGGGGGTGTGGATAATGAGGAGCTAGTGTTTAGTGGTAGAGTTCTGGTTGCAGAAGGTGAAAACGTTCTGGAGACAGACTGGGCAGTGACAGCTGCCCAATAATGTAAATGTAGGGATTGCCACAGAACTGTACACTTAAAAATGGATAAAATGGTAAATTTCATGTTGGGTATATTTCACTACATTAAAAAAAGTAATGGGGCTCCTAAGCAAACTATCAGAACTAATGACGAAAGATCAGCATTAAACTTGATTTTACCAATGCTCGATCCTCATTTCAAATGAAGTACTTTTGAACACTTTCTATTAAATAAAGTCTTCACAGGACAAACAAAAATTTACCTCCTGGATTTCTTTTTCTAATAGTTCCACTCTTTCACGAAGGTGCCTCCTCTCGGTGTCGATAGAAAGAAGTTCTAGTCGAACGGAGCTGCTTTCTCCCTCAGCTTGATGGGCTTTGACCTCCCAGTCTTCAGCACGGTTATGAAGCATCTGAAATCTGTCTAACAAATCTTGATTTTCTTTTTCCTGGTTCAAGCATAATTAAATTGTTTCAAAATTAGTAATTCTTACTTTCTGGAATACCTATGTCAGAAACACATACACACATTAGGATTTTTGTTTTAATTTAGGAAGCATAAGCCATCTGTTCAGACACTAAAGTAACATATGTGGGGAAATACAAAGAGACAGGAGGCGAGGTCTCCAATCTCACATGTTAGTAACAGAGGAGGCAGAATAAAGAAATATAACATAGTGAAAAAAAAAATCAGTCTTAAATCCAACCTAAACAATGTTATTTTACCTTAGCGGACATTAGGCTCTCCCATCGTGACACCTCAGTTATGTAATTATGAACTCTACTCTTCATTTCTTCTTTTTCCTGCACTGCTGCTTCCAATTCCAATGAGATTTCCTATAAATCAGAATATTGAAGACAAATCTAAAATGAACAGAGCACCTAATGACTTCTATTTCTATTTGAACAGCTACTTTTGAATTTGGGGAACAAGAGAGAGTAGGATTAAAGGAAAACTGTTCCTAAGTGTTACTTGCACTTGTTTTTCCTAGCTGATCTTGACTTTCTTCTAATCCTCACCAGAGGACATGCCCACCGATTTTAGAGAGGGTAGGAGGGAGGGAGGGAGAGAGAAACATTAACTGGCTGCCTCCTGAACACACCCCAACAGGGCACCAAACCCACAACCCAGGCAAGTACCCTGATGGAGAACTGAACCCATGACCATTCCATTTGACAGGACGACACTTCAACCAACTGAGCCATACTGGCCAGGGCTGCTCTTGACTTTTTAACTAAATGTTACCACACATCTTCCACAATAGTCCTAACCATGTATCTGGCTCAAGGGTTGGCATTTTTAGAAATTCATATATCAGCAATATGCTTTACATGGAATAATGTTGAAAGTAATTTTAAAAAAGCCAAAATATTAAAAATAGGAAAATTACTGGTTTTCTGGGTACCAGCACAAACAAAACTAATACCTTTAAGTATCTGACACTTAAAATGTTCATTAATTGGCCTTGGCCAAGTGGCTCAGTTGGTTGGAGTATCATCCCATACACCAAAAGGATGTGGGTTAGATTTCCGATCAGGGCACATACCTAGGCTGTGGGTTCCATGTTCAGCTGGGGCACAGATGGGAAACAACTGATCAATGTTTTTCTCTCCTTTCTCTTTATCTCTTTCTAAAATCAATAAACATATCCTCAGGTGAGGATTATATATATATGTGTGTGTGTGTACTGTATATATATATATATATATATATATATATATATATATATATATATATATATTCATTAATTTCCTTATACCCCTAAGTAAAGTAAGCCACTGGAAGTAAGTACAGGTAATTAAAATCTGCCATGTAATTAAAACAGGTAATCTACAGGTAATTAAAACACAGCAACTTTGCCCTGGAAGTGATGCTGAGGTCCTCATCCAGTAGGGTGATGACAATTTCTGCCTCAAGGGATAAATACCGTGCTACCAGCTTTAGAAGGCCTTACAGCACAGGTGGCAAACGCAAGGCCCGCAGGCTGAATCCGGCCCTCCACCTCGTTTTATCCGGCCCGGCACCTTGTTTCTACCTGGTGGCAATGCCAAGCTCTCGCTTAACTGTTAAGGAGTAGTTACACTTATATAGTCTTAAAATCATATTTGGTCCTTTGAAGGCAACCACGAGGCTGATGTGGCCTCCCATGAAAATGAGTTTGACACCCGTGCCTTACAGTAAAGACGAAAATGATGAGGGGACCACAGCTGTATCCATTAGATACCCTATAATATACAGCGGCATTTTAAACTACATTTTAAAATACCATTTAATGGTGTATAAACACCATTACCCTTAAAGAATTATTTTTGTTGTTATTATTAAAATAAAAAGAACTTAGAGTTTAAGGTTTAACAAAAATACACTGTAAAACTGTATAATATAAAGCTATCAAAATTTATGCATTGTACTCATACCTGGTTTTCTCTTGCCATTGTAGCCAGATCATCCTGTAATCTTCTATTTTCCTTAAAAGATATTTCTTTAGCTCTTCCTACTTCTTCAAGTTCTTTGTTAGTTGCATCAAGCTGGCGCCGGAGGCTGGCTATCTCACGGTCCCGATTTGTCAGTGTTTCCTTCAGCTGGCTGTTACATGAATAATGTAAAAATAAAAAAGAAAGCTTTTTGAAAAATTTCGTTCATTGAAAAGAAAACTGTTCACAGACAACAGTGTGGTAATTGTGGGGGCAGGGACGGGGTAGAGGTGAAAAAGGGCATGGGGGAGATAAATGGTGATAGAAAATAAAACTGTTGTCCTCTGAATTAAGTATACTAAGAATATAAGAAATTATAACTACTGCATTAAGACACTGATTAATTAGGTAAAGCAGGTATTTTTAGCTTTCTACCAATCATTATGAGCAAAGGAAGTCATAAAATAATTTTATTATTCTAAAAGTCTAGTAAAAACAGAAGACATTCAAGTGTTAGGAGATTCATTTAGCAAATAATAGAATAATAACAGATTCTATTGGCAAATATTTACTTAATATTTCAGTCCCCACTATGACATAATATCAAAGGGTATACAGAATAAATATGAGTAGTGACTTTGTCTCGAAGTAGAGAGACGAGATATAAAATGTAAAATTTTGTTCAAGATGGGGTTAGATGTAGAATAAATTTAAGGCTGGCTACTACCTAAATTTTAATAATTAGGGCCTGCATAGGGTAGTTCCAGTAGAAACAAAGAGCGAGTAGGCATGTAAAAGAATAATTAGTAAGTATTTAGATGTGGACGACGGAAGATAGCAGAAAGTTAAAGAGAATAACACTTTCATGCAGAAGACTGAGAAAATAATGCTACTGCCATTGGCAAAAATAGAAAAATTGAAAATGGAAATTAAACTATGGACAGATGCTACTTAAATAAAGCTGCATTCAAGGAAACCTTCTAAAAAAAGCTGGATGCCATTACATTGATTACTTACTTCAGAGAAGATTCATACTCAGAGAACGTTATCTTCATCTGAGCAATAGCTTTTTCCTGTAGAAGAAATATATATGATTCGAAACAATTCATATAGAAATGTCTTAAGTTGAATTTATACAATTTAGCACATTCATGCAATTCAAGTCTAATTACATAACTTAGGCTATAAATGAAAGCTTCACATACTACCATGTTCCTACTCACTCTAAGAACTTACACTATTTCCTCGAGTTTGCTGTAATCACATCTGATGAAATTACATTCAAGAAACAGAACTTTTTGAAGATCCAAATTATCGAGGTAAAATGAAATTTAAATATATTACAAGATACAGCCTAGGTGTTAACTTGTACACAGGTAATAACTGCATATTTGAAACAGAATGAAATAATCTTTTCTGTTCAGATGCTGGATAACCATATGTGACAGTGACATACTTTATTAGCAAGGTTTTCCTGCAAGTTTGCAATCTGTTCTGTCTTCTCATCTACAGCTTCCTGAAGAAAGTCTTTTTCTTTATCAATAACACCAATGGTCTTTTTCATTACATGAGCCTCTTGATCCTGTGAAGTCATTTTAAGGTGTAGTTTACCTATAAATGAGTAGAAATGTTTGTTAGCCAAAGTAAATTAGGGTTAGCAAAAACAAAACTTGAAAACACTTACCTATATTTTCCTCCAGTATTTTTATTTGTGCTTGGGCTGATTCAAGTTCACTTGTTTTTATGGAAAGTCGGTGCTGATAATCATCAAGTGACTGCTGTAGCTGCTCATTTACTATCCTAAAGAATCAGTGGACAAAAACAAATGGTATTCTTTATCTCTAGCAGAAATAATTTTTAAAAAGTGAGAGATCTCAAAAAATCTTTTTCTTATTTTTAAGGTTTCTTTTATTTCTTATTTTAAAGCTCTTCCAGTATAATCAATGGTATATTATATATTATTTCTTGCCGTCCACCTTCCTTCTTCAAAACGTTTCATCTTCCTAAAAATAATACAGTATAAAAATCAAATTAATTGTGCGCTCCTTTCTAGAGTCTTCCTGGTAGTTTTAAAGCTCTTCTCAGTTTCCTAATATCAACCCTCTTTCTCCTAAAGTCTGTTTCCAACAGTGGAGGCAAAAAGAAAGTCCTGTTTTTCAGCGTGGCCTGGCACTCAAAGGATTATCCTTAAATCCTGACCATCCAGACCAGTGAGCTTTTAAATTTGTTTCCTCTTCTAACTTTGTTGGCGTGTAATCAACTGGAGGCCGTAGTAAACTGGGAAATTAGGCATTAATTGTAGTGCAATAAGGATTTAAGACTAAAGATTGGTTTTAGGGAGCAAAAGAAAGAATGGACAAAGGAAATAAAGACAATTTCAGAGTAATCTCTTACTGATTAGTAAGACTATTTTTCAGAAGTAACAAGAATTTGTTCTCCTGTCATCTGGAGACTTTGGAATGCTTTCAGCCCTGACCTACAAGTTCTTAACCCTGCCTCGCTGGAAAGACAAAGCTTTCACCTAGGGTAGTTATTGGGAACTCCCACAGGGATGTAACCACAAGAAGTAGTCATTGCATTGATACTTTATATATATTAGCTCATTTATTCCTAGAGCAGTTCTATAATTAGAACTATTATTTCAGTGTTATTGAAACAAATAAATAATAATTTGTCCAAGGTAACAAAGCAAAGAAAAAATATAAATCCAGGCTAGCTGCACTTGATGTCGACGTTTTTCTACCACACCAAGTTGCCTTTTATGAAGAACACAGGGAGACCGACATCCTCTATGTGGGAGGGAGAATGTCCACCAGTAAGCTACACAGTGGCCCCCAGAGTCCCAAGTAGTTGGCTGTGCTTGAAATCTTAAGTAGAAATGTAAAGATCCCTTTACATCTAAATTCATTAGCAGGGTTAATTCCCCACGAAAGTAGGGTTGGTAAAGTAACGTCTTGACTGATTACACATATGAGGGGGTCCTAAAAATAGCTTTGTCTTTTCATATTCTAGTATAGAGAGGGAAGGTGACAACAGAGATTTCTATGCCAGGCCTTGGACATAACTTTTGAGACATAAGTACTGCTGCTAAGATAAAGGTCTTCTTAATAAAAGAATTGAGGTATGGTATAGAGTTCATTGTGAGGAATAGCCGATGACTATCAGATTATTTGTTCATGGTAGTCTCTGGAAAGAGAATTCTGAGAATTTTTTAAAAAGGTAAATGTATTTGGGTGATGCTCTGACCAGTGTGGCTCAGTTGGTAGAGCGTTTTCCTACAATGCAAAAGGTCACAGATTCAATTCCGAGTCAGGGCACAAGCCTGGGTGGCAGGTTCGGTCCCTGGTCGAGGCACCTATACAAGAGGCACCTGATTGATGTTTTTCACATCACTGTTTCTCTCCCTCTCTTCCCTTCTCTCTAAAAATAAAATCTTTAAAAAAATTAATCGGGGTGACACTGCTTAATAAGATCATATAGGTTTCAAGTGTACATTTCTGTGATACAAGATCTATACATTGCATTGCATGCTCACAACCCAAAGTCAAACCATCTTTTCAGAGAACCTATTGAGAACTAAGTTATTAGGAAAATTGAAGCAATTTCTTAGCTTTGAAAGTGCTATAAACATAGCAAAGGGAAGTGATGACTTCTCACCAGAAAGTAAATCGATGAAACTTCACTTAGAATCAAAGTCCTAGCTCTCTACTACCCATGTGGCTGTACCTCAAATTCCTCAGTTATATTACTTTACTTTACATGAAGGCATACATGTTTTCATTTTAGGGAGCAAAGTAATTACTTTCTTTCATAATGGACAGTATCTTAAAGAGTCTGTTCGTTTTTCATAAAAAGTGTTCAAGTTCTAAAACTTGAATGGAGCTGAAGCTCCATCTAAGAGGAGTAGGCTAGGAATTTTAATGTCCTATTAGAGGAAACAGACTGATATGATATCCCTATTTTGGATGTCTCTAAAAGTCCATAGTCATGGCCCGCCATTAACTGAAAGGCTACTATTAAGTATCATCCTTTGGTGAGCCAGAGAGAGGAAAATGATCAGGATGGGCTTTCCTTTCACCTTTCTGTAAAGGGATAATGATTTGTCTCTGGGGGCCCTAGTTCCCTTGGCCCTTTTGAGTCCAGCTACATGAGCTCAGCTATGGTCCCTTAGGGCCCTGCCTTCTCTCCCCGTCTTGGTAGAAAAATGTTCGACATGCCCAGAAGACAGTTTTTAGGCATCCTAAGAAATCTATGAGCATTCTTTTCCATATCTACAATGGTTTTCAATTCTCTTAACAAATAAATACTTCTCAAGGGAAAACAGTTATATTTGGTTTTCTGAATACACCTAAATCCTACGGTAACAACTGATACCTACTGCCGTAATATTAACTCTAACGAGAGTTTATGAGCCCTTCCAAGGAAAGTCTGCTAACGCATTTCTTTGATCCTCGGTTAATTATATAACCCTGTAGTTTTGAAGAACGTTCACAAATAACTAAAGACTAAGGTGAAATGAAAACAGTCTGAAAGTGTTCTCAGCTGCAGGACTCTAACCATTTGGAGACTCATAGCTGGCAATGGTGAGGACTAGGACTGTTAACAGTGGGGTTAACTGAGAAACGTTAGCTCTCTAACTGGGCTGGAAACTATTTATTCTCAAGCAGGTCATGGCGAACTATGGCCTACTACCAATTTTTATAAATCCTAAGTGCAAGGAATGGCTTTTACTTGTTTAAATCACTGAAAAAAATTACAATAGAAGATCAGTATTTTGTGACATAAAAATTATATGAAGTTTAACTGCAGTGTCCATAAAGGTGTACTGAACCACAGCCATACTCCCTTGTTCGAACATCGTCTGCAGCTGAGTTTGCACTACAAAGGCAGGACTGAGTATGGGCAACAGGGACTACCTGGCCCGCAAGTCTAAAATACTCACTCTGTCCTTTTCAGAATAAGTTCACTGACCCCCAGCTCCAGAGGATGGCTAGCAAGCATCCTCTGAGGGGCTAAGACCATCTTTTTTGGGTAGAGTAAAGTTGCTTTATAGCATTTTTTTCTACGAAGTTTTGATTTGGGACATAAAATGCCAGGTCTTATTAAATGCTAAAATTCAAGGAAGACAATAGTCATTCGTTTAACTTCAATGGGTGGTTACAAAGTGGGATTTTGTATTATGCCCTCCGGTGCTGCATCAAAAGACCAGACCACAGACCCTGTATTTGGACAATTAGAGATGACGCTTGAAATAGTCTGCTTGGTTTAAATACAAAAACAGGAAGAAAAAAAAACAAGTCTTTCTCAAAAAGAAAAGACTGTTTGGTGGCACTGAAATTTGGTGGAAAGCAAAGGGAAAGGAAAGAGAAGGGAAGGGAAAGAAGATGGGTTCACCAAGTAGATGGAAAGGAATATACGATTCATCTGAGTATCAGATTCTTAAGTGTCTTCATGACAGGGGAAAGAGAACTTGATGTGACTGAAGGGGTAGCAAGATCTCTACTGACCATATTGAAAGTGGCATGAGGGCCCTTGCCAGTGTGGCTCAGTGGACTGAGTGCTGGCCTGCAAACCAATGGGTTGCTGGTTCAATTCCCAGTCAGGGCACATGCCTGGGTTGTGGGCAAGGTCCCCAACAGGGGACATATGAGAAGCAACCACACACTGATGCTTCTCCCCCTTTCTTTCTCCTTCCCTTCTCCTCTCTAAAAATAAATAAATAAAATAAAATAAAACAAAATAAAGAACGTGGCATGAGGTTTGAATAACATGGCTTTGCCTCTACAGAGTGCTTGGCATTACAATTTGTACCGAGTTTAGCTTTGGATTTGGACCTGACGGTTTGAACTCATGGTTCTGCCAACCCATGCTGATATGAAGAACATGAATGACATACTTTCCTCGGAAGCAAGGTACGTCAGATTTTCCTGCCAGGGCAAAACAAAGGTATAGAACCACTCTTAGGTGAGGGAAGCACCAGACTGAGCTCACAGGAGAAAAGGGTATTAGTATAACAAAGAAAACAGCAAAGGAGCTGTATGCTGGGGTGTCCAAGAGAGCCCTGCCTTAAGTGCCTGAGACTATGGAGGGCCTCCTGCAAGGAGAGGAAAGGAGAGTGTGGTCTAGTCTGAAGAAGAAAAGTAAAATGGATTAAATACCAGATCCAGTTAGCTGCTGGACAAAAAAGAAAAGGGAAGACTAATAATTCTGTGTGTCAAAATACACCACAGTGCCTGTACTATGGAGTTGAATATGGACATGAACCAGAAGAAGTGGGGCTGGTCCATTCAGTTAGCTCTCCTTCACAGGATGTATGTAGTGCTTGCAAAAATACGAAGAAAGAAAAAAGGAGGAGGGGAAAAGCAGCTTCTAATTTAGTTCTTTATCTAACATTTGACTTATCAAAGACTTGTAGTCAGAGAGCAGCAAAGGAGCAAAATTAAAGATACCCTATGAAAATGAGAGAAAAAAAAAAAGATACCCTATGAGTCCCTGAAAGAGCATTCCTTAATTAAATGGACACATCCAGCTCTTGGTCTTATTTCATCAAGTTTTGTTTGATAATCAGGAACCGCTTATGAATATGACCTCAGGCTGTTTCCTAATTATTCCTTTGATTGTCAATTCTGTTTATGTTATATATTTTTACAATTATGAGTGTTTATATGTTAGATCTGTGTCTTTTTTTGCTTATTTCTTTTTAACCTTGAGTTTTGAATTCTAGGGAATTTCTTGAGTCTGTTTTCTATTTGGGCAACTCAGTTTTCTGACAGTATATCCATCCTGTTCACTAACACTTTCAGTTTTAATTTATCAGTCTTTTTCTCTAACCATCACTAACCATCTGATCTCAGGTTGTGACTACACTCCAGGACTGACTTAGTTTCACATGTGCAATGTCATGCTGACATCTGAAAAGCTTTTCCTATTTCTTACTGCAAATGTATTTAGGGAGAAATATTTCCTTGATTCTTCAGAGTGTTGCCCTCTTCTGACTTTCAGTATCTTTTACTTATCGCAGCTGCTCAGTCCAGAAAAAAACCAACTTTGTTGACCTTTTCCCTCCAGTCTTCTGTATTCTAAATTGATTAATGGTTAACCAACACAAGATCCTAAGGTAAACATTCTGCATTACTGTATATTTTTCTCATTTCCATATAAGTCATGCAGTCCTTTTGATTTTATGTAAGAAGTGTTTCCTAAATCTGGCCTCTGTTCTCCAAGTTCACTGTCACTGTTTCAGTCCAGACACATGGTCTCTATTGTTTGCCATCAGCCTATTAAGACTCTAAGTCCATCTTTCCTATTTCTGCCAGAATTCACTTTTTAAAAAGCATGCTACGCGTGTCAGCCCCTGGGTGAAAAATTTCTGTTTCTTCTCTATGTTTATAAGGTAAAATCCAGACACTCTAGGTTACCATACTAACTTCTTCATAACCTGACTCCCACCTGTAGATACACCCTCTTTTTACATACTGACCTTCTTACCATTTTTCAGACTCTGTATAAAAATACTTTGATTTTACATTTCTTTGAAAGAAGAAAGATAAGAACAATGATGTAAGTAGCAAAAAATTCTGTAACTTTCAGCAACCCTAGGCTATGGAGTACAAATGATCTGAAGCATCCGTTAGGGGGATTTTTGAAAGAGGTAGGTACAAAAACTTGCCGGCAATCATATCAGTCTACGAAAGTCTTTAAAAATACAGATACGCAAAACCTACCCAGATTCACTCGGTAAATAAGAACTTCCAGGGATCATCCCTAAATCCATAATTTTCAAAAGCTCCCCAGGTGACTCCACTCACTGCAAGGCCAACTCTGGGGACCACCGCTCAAAGGCCTAGGCCAAAGATGCCACCGTAACGGGCCTCACAGAGTCACTTCCCAGAGGTGAGAGAAATAAGGAAACATTGAATGAACTTACCTAAGTGAGTTCATCTCTGTCTTCTGAAGAGATGAGTCACCGGCCACATGGCTGAGTTTCTGAGCTTGGAGCTTTGCTTTGTTCTCTAATGACTCCATCGATTCTTTCATTACTAACATTTTAGACTTTAATTCACAGTTCTCGTTTTCAAGCTACAATTCAAATTTTAAAAATTAATAGGTAATGTCTCAGTTTTTTTCCCTTAAGCATATTTTAACATTTCTGAAAGAAAACTAAGGAAATAAATAAGATTTATTTAAAAGTCCTTTACAAGTCATGTGTATACTTTAGGTTCTACACATCAGGGTAGGCATATACATTTAGCTCTCCTTTTCAATATCACTGAAATGAAAGAAAAGATAGAAAAAAGAAAGAAAGAAAAGAGAATAATATATCCATAACAACAATAAAAACAGAAAGGGAAACAATTAGCAGAGCAAAAATTTTAAGGAATTTCTCAAGAACAGTAAGCAGGTAGGCCTGATTGAAAGAAAAATTCTTAACAGAAAATACAGTAACCCAAACACAAACAGGCAAGATATATGGAAAAAGATGTAAAAATTTTCTGGAGGGCATAACATAACCCAACTTAATGTAAAGACACACCATGTTTCTGAATGAGAACACAGTATTGGAAATGTAATAAAATTTCCTGAAATAACTGTGAATTCAATGAAATTTCAGTAAGAATCCTAACAGAACCTTTTAAAAATAAGAGGAGTAGTTTAGATTTCATTCTAAAATTCATTTAGGAAAAAAGAAATTTAAGAAGAAACAGGTCTTTCCCACGGTGCCTCAATGGTGGCTGGTTATTTCAGGATGAAGCTGAACCTCTCTTTCCCAGCCACTGGCTGCCAGAAACGCACTGAAGTGAATGAGGAATGCAAACTTCGTACCTTTAATGAGAAGTGGATGGCAACAGAAGTTGATGCTGATGCTCTGGGTGAAGAATGGAAGGTTATGTGTTTCAAATCAGAGGTGGAAATGACAAAGTTTTCCCAGACAGCCTGGTGCCCTGACCTATGGTTGTGTCTGCCTGCTACTGAGTAAGGAGTGTTCCTTTTATGGACCATGGAGGACTGAAGAAGGAAAGCAAAAATCTGTTTGGGGTTGCAGTATGGATGCCATTCTCAGTGTCCTCAACTTGGTCATTGCAAAAAAAGGGAGAAAGACATTCCTGGTCTCACTGATACTACCATGTCTTGTTGCCTGGGGCCCAAAAGAGCTAGCAGAATCCACAAACTTTTCAACCTCTCTAAAGATTATGATGTCCACCAATATGCTGTGAGAAGGCCCCTAAACAAAGAAGGGGAGCAACCTAGGACCAAAGCACCCAAATTTCAGCATCTTGTTACTCCACGTGTCCTGCAGCACAAACCTCGGCATATTGCTCTGAAGAAACAGTGTACTGAGAAAAGGAAGAGGCCACAGAATGTGCTAAACTTTAGGCTAAGAGAATAAAGGAGACCAAAGAAAAATGCCAGGAACACATTGCCAAGAGATGTAGGTTTTCCTCTCTGAGAGATTCTACCTCTAAGTCTGAGCCCAGTCAAAAATGAGATTTTCTACAAGGAACAAATAAATAAGATCTGACATTTAAAAAAGAAAAAAAAACAGGAAAAACTGAGGGTGGGGGAAGAATGCAAGTAGATTTGCCTTGTGAGATATGAATCAATTAGAAAGCTACCATGATTAACACTGTGGATTTCACATAGAAATGGACAAGCAACTATGTGTATGCAGATTTCAATTTGGAAAAGGTAGCACATTAGGGAAGTGGGAAAAGAATAAACTCTTTATAAACAGAGTTGGAACAATCACTCATTAGAGGAAAAAAATAGGTAGATTTTTATTTTACTTTACATACAAAAATAAATACTAAATGGAATAATAATTATATATACAATTCAAAACCAAGAAATATTAGTGATAAATATGAGTCTTCCAGTTAAAACTGTAAACTGACCACACACATTTTATCTCCCCCCACCTCTGGAAACAGTGCTAAAATGACAGTAAAGGAATAAGAAGGCCATAAGAACATAGAGAACAAGAAAGAAAATAAGAGTAGACAAGTGCCTTCGACAACTTGTGGAAGACAAAGAGTAGATTGAGTAATGACTCAAAATGGAAGAAAGGTATCATCTAAAGCAGTTTCTGAACCTAGGAACTACTGGCATTTGAAGCCAGATCATTCTTTGTTGGGGGCAGAGCCGTCCTGTGCACTGCAGGATGTTTAGGAGCATCCCTGGCCAATACCTGCTGGACATGAGAAGCACCTTCCCCCTTGTTGTGACAACCAAAAATTCTCCGGGTACTGCCACATATCTCTGAGGAGGCAGAGCTGACCCCAGTTGATCTGAAGTGACCACAGCAGGAAATACCACTGTGCAGCCAGATGATTTATCCCGAAGAAGCTTAGCTCATGGAGACACCAAATGGTAGGCTGGGCTCAGGAGCAGAAAGAACAACAAACCTACCGAATGGGAGAACATATTTGCCAATACACATCTGATAAGAGGTTAATCTCCAAAAAATATAAAGAACTTATATAAGTCAACACCAGGAAGACCAACAAGAACTCAGGAACATGGACAACAGTGTGGTGATTGTGGGGGCAGGGAGGTGGGCGGAGGTGGAAAGGTATACAGGGGATAAATGGTGATGGGAAAAAGTGAAATAATATAATAAAACTTTAATAAATGGGTAAAGGACCTGAATAGACACTTCTCCAAAGAAAATATACACACAGCCAAAAGACGTATGAAAAGATGTTCAACATCACTAATCATCAGAGAGATGCAAATTAAAACCACAATGAGATATTGCCTCACACCCGCCAGAATGACCACTATCTATAAATCAACAAACAAGTGTTGGGGAGGATGTGGAGAAAAGGGAATCCTAGTGCACTGTTGGTGGGAGTGCAGACGGGTGCAGCCACTGTGGAAAACAGCATGGAAATTCCTCAGAAAACTAAAAATGGAACTGCCTTTTGACCCAGTGATTTCACTTCTGGGAATCTATCCTAAGAATACTGAAATACTGATTTGAAAGAATATAGGTACCCCCATATTCACAGCAGCATTATTTACAATAGCCAAGATCTGGAAAATGCCCAAGTGTCCATCAGTAGAAGAATGGATAAAAAAAAGCTATGGCACATTTACACAATGGAATACTACATGGCCATAAAAAAGATGGAACTCTTACTTTTAGAAACAGCATGGATGGACCTGGAGATTATTATGCTGAGTGAACTAAGCCCATCAGAGAAAGACAAATATATGATCTCACCTACATGTGGAATCTAATGAACAAAATAAACTGACAAACAAAACAGAAAAAGAGGCATGGACATATGGAGTAGACTGACAGCTGTCAGAGAGGAGTGAGGGGACTGGATGGAAAGGTGAAGGGATCAGCCGAAGAACATATATGTATAACCCATGGACAGAGACAACAGTGTGGTGATGGCCAGAGGGAAGGGGGAGTGACGGATGGGAGGAGGGCAAAGAGGGGAAGATGGGGACATCTGCAACAGTGTCAGTAATAAAAATAAAGAAAAAAGAGAACTGAACAAGGAATTCCAGGGAGGACAAGACAACGCGGGTTTGCAGGGCAGACAGTGGAGGAGCGCTGCACAGAATGAGAGCTCCAGACATCTACAAACATGGCCCCTGAGCCTTTAGCTGAGCAGAGCTCAGCATGGATGGTGCTACCCCAAGGCAAGGGAAGAACCATCAAAGAATTCGAGGGAACAATGCTCAGGACTCATGCAGGACCAGGAGTAGATCCTGTTCTCATTAGCCATTTGAAAACAACATAATTCATGGGGAAACAGGTAGTGTACTCAAAAGGGTTTTGTCTCAGTAGTGAAACAGAATTAGTTCAACACTAAATGTTACTCTGATGCCACCCAATGAAGCTTACATGCATAAGCAAAAAGGATTAAGGTGCTTCTATCTGTATCTTAACTGTACCTCAGATCAAACCTCAAGAGTACCCATAGGAATATAAGTTATCCAGCAACCAAGAAGGTCAAATTCACAATGCCTGACACACACCTAAAGTCACCAGGTATGCAAAGAAGCAGGAAACAATAACTGGTGATGGGGAAGGAAAAAAAATCAACTGACCCAAAGTTGATAGAAACAGATGAAAAAATTAGTAGACAAAAAAAGTGAGGACATAGTAAAGACAACTAGGAAAATGAAATAGAGAGAAAAAAAGACTGTCAGAACTCATATTAATTTTAAAAAACCCTATCTCTAGAGAGAGCAATAAGAAATAGAAGTGCATTTACCATGTACTCTATGTCTGTACGAGTATATGATTTTTTAATAAGAGCAAAACAATAATAAGCATGATATCTACTGAGTGCTTACAATATGCCAGTGACTATTCTAAGTTCCTAAATATGTATTAAATCATTTAATCTCTATAAATTAGGCACTAGCACTACTCTTATTTTACAAATAAAGAAATTGAGGGATGGAAAGTTTAAGTAACTTGCCTATAGGTAATAGGTGACAGAGATGGATTTGAACCAAGTAGCCTTTAAAGTACATACTCTATCATCACTACTTAAAAAAATTTTTTTATCCTCACCTGAGGACATTTTTTTATTGCTTTTAGAGAGAGTAGGGGCAGAGAAATATCGATGCAAGAGAGAAGCATTGACTGGTTGCCTCCTGTACACACCCAGACCAGGGACAGTAACCGGACCCGGAATCGTACGTGTCCAGACTGGGGATTACACACGCTGGCGCCTGGACAAGGGGCTGAACCTGCAACCTAGGTATGTGCCCTGGCAGGGAATCAAACCCGCAACCCTTCAGTTAGGGAACAACACTCCAACCAACTGAGCCACACTGGCTGGGGCATATTCCATCATTATTATACAGCTTTTCTAGCATACTCTTTTGTAATATCAAAAATATACAGTATATTAAAACTATAATTGATATAGTCATTCACACAGCACAATATACCCCACATCCAGTTTGAAAAATTACCTGGTGATTAACATATGTTAAATGTTCAATAGTTTTCTCGAATTCTGATTTTCCAAAAAGATTCATTTCCTGGAGAGTCTGAAAGAGAATTTTATAAAAGATGTTCATTCACATCAGACAATGCAAGACAATTACCAAAGTAAGCAACACAAGTGTTCACTACTATTCTACTTGTTTTTTGAACAACAGAATGTTTTAGAAAGAAAATCATTGCACATTTTACAAAAACAATGCTTTTGGTGGAGAAAAAACCACTCTGTCTCCATGTGTTATTTTAACAGAAGACACAGATTAGTATAAATTCATTTATAAAGATTTATACAGACTGATTCATTAGCACAACCATAAAAGGAAAAAAACAGCAGGTTAAGGAAGCTCAGGAGTACGTCCTCACAGAGGAGGAGTAAGGGAAACAGACTGTAAAGGAAGAAAAGATGAGATCAGAAGGACACAGGAACAGGATACCACAGGACTGTGGAAGCCATCAGAGTTTCAAGGATGAGCTGGTCGACAGTGTGAACACGAGAGCTGTTTTCTGGCTACACCACCTTATCTAACTCTTGTTGATGCTAAGTCTAGGTAGGCAAGTGATAAAAGCTGATGTTTCCTGAGAATTCTTCTAGTGGACTCATACTTCCACCCATATTATTCATTAAAAATAAATACAGACATTGGATTGGACTATACATTTGGTTGAAAGAGTCACTGTGCTGCATGCATTTTTTTAGTTTATTAAGTCATGCAACAAGTATTGAGTACATACTACATACCAAGCACCCAGCAAGGTGTTAGAAATACAGTAGTGAGTAAAACGTATTCTCTGATGCCATAGATACTATAGTCTAGTAGAAAAAAAAAACCTTAAAAAGATACTAGAATAAAATCCATGCATATTTTGCTAGAAAAAGGAACTTTATGAAAATATATTGAAAGGAAATCTAGAGTCTAGCATTCATTTCCTGTGTGAGAAAATATTTAACCTGGCTCTAAAGGATGAACAGAAATCAGCCAGGTAAGAGAACTGAAAAGTGTAAAGGAATGCCCCCAACAGCTATGAAAGTTGGGGCAAGAGAAAGTCCATTAAACCTGGAGTGGAGAAAACAAAGGGTGGGGAAAAGGGGAAGATGAGCTTGGGGAAAAGAGGCTACACCTCAAAGCAGGCACTGAAGACGATCACTGAAACCCTTGAAAACAGTTAATGAGTTTTAAGTGGGAAGTGACGTGATTGGATTTATATTTTTGAAAGACAACTCGGACTTCAGTTTGAAATAGATGTGGAGGGAGCTAATATAATACCCTAACGCAGTTGAGAGAGAATAATGGCCAGAACAACTAGAACTAGACAGGTTCAAGAGAAACACATGTGACCTCAGGAGCCAGACTCCTTGTGACTTCATAGTAGGTGACCTTGGGCAAATACTTAAACTCACTGTGACTCAGAGATCACCCATCTGAAAAGGCAGCTATCAAGAGTGACTCAAAAAGTCTGTGAAAAGCACTTAGTATAGAGCCTCCTGCACGGAAAGGACTTAATAAATGTTAAATACTACTTAAGAGGTAGTACTGACAAGACTTGGTGACCGCGAGACAGGAGCTTTCAGGGAGGGAGGAGTCGGTGGTGGTCCTGGGTTCGACACTTGGGTTGATGGTGGCATAACAGGACACCACTAGAGGAGGCTTAAGGATTGAGATGATTATTTCAGGTTTTAAGTAAAAGACCTGTAATAAACTCATAAATCCTCGCTCCTACTATCCAGAGAGATTCTGGCCATATGAGTATCACTTTTCCCAAGTTTTCAACACTACTGCAGTTTCCAAACCCTGTTTTTACATTCCTTGGTCACTTCAACATACAGAAAACAATAAATCAGTAGCTTGTACTAAAAACTGTCATAGTACGACAAGTTCCCCATTTGGTAATATAAACACTGTTTTTTTAATGACAAATTACTTTTGGGAAGGCAGTATTCCAAAGGATCCCAATTGAAAGTATTCTTTTGGAGTAAAACTCTAACTGGAATTTTATGACATAAAGACTGCCCTAATAATGCTTAAATGTTCTTATTGCTAATTTTAGTCACTAATTTCTAAACATTAATTCCATAACATTTTTGGATACAAAGTATAAACTCCATACTAGTAACAAGAATAGTTAATATTGAGTTCTTATTATGTATTAAGTACTTGCTTTATATATATTAACATATGTATTTGTTTGGAGATTATAAAAGGAGTTATAAAAGACTACCCCAGATATGACATCAAAAGCATACACGACAAAAGAAAAAATAAATTGGACTTCCCCAAAATTAAAAATTTTTGTGCTTTAGCAGACACCATTTAAAAAATGAAAAGATAACCCACAGAATGGGGGAAAGTATTTGCAGATCATATCTGATGAAGGAAATTTTATTGAGGATATATAGTCTTACAACTCAATAATGAGACAAATAATGCAAATTAAAAATGGGCGAAGGATGATCTACATTGACATTTCTCCAAAACAGGATAAACAAATGGCCAAGCAAGCACATGAAAAGATGATGGACATCATTAGCCATCATGAAAATGCAAAGCAAAACCATGGATACCTACCAGCATGACTACCATGAAAAAGACAGACAATAACAAGTGTTGCTGAGGACGTGTATGCACTGCTGGTGGGAAGAAAAATGGTGCAGCTGCTATGGAAAATGGCCTGGCAACTGTTCACAGGGTTAAATACTGTCATCATATGAACCCAGGTGCACGCCCAAGATAAGTGAAAACATACATCCCCACAAAAAGCTGTACCTGAATATTCATAGCACCATTATTATTTATAGCCAAAAAGTAGAAACCACACAAATGATAAATAATGGAATGTTACTCCATAATAAAAAAGAATAAAATATTAATACATACTATAACATGAATGGATTGCTTGAAACCATTATGCTAAATGAGAGAAGCCAGACATAAAAACTGCATACTGAATGACTCCGTTTATGTGAAACGTCCAGAGTACGTAAACCTACAGAGACAGAAAGTAGACTAGTGGTTGCCTCAGACTGAGGAGGTGAGGGGCAAATGGAGAGCAGGTGACAATGGGTACAGAGTTTCTTCTGAATTAATGAAAATGCTCTCTTGGGGGGGGGTGCTGGATTGGGAGTAAAAGGGAGAAAACTGTACTTGCACAATGATTAAAATAAAAAAAAGAAAATGCTCTAAAATTGATTGAGGTGATGGTTGAACAAGTCTGTAAATATACAAAACACCACCTGAAATGGGTGAAGTATATGGTATGTGAATATCTCAATGAAACTGTTTTACGAAAAGAAGATAATGTCCCTCCACATAAGGAACTGCCTACTGAAATCAGAGACTAGTTATTTTCTATAAAGAACAAGATAACAAATATTGCTGGCCTTATGAGCCACTGTTCCTACAGCCATTACTGAACTCTGCCACTGCAGCAAAAAAGAAGCCACACTGAACGTGTAAATGAAGGAGCATCGTATTCCAATAACATTTACCAACAATGAAATCTGAATTTCAAAAAGTTCATGTGTCATGAAATATTCTTCTTTTCACAGTTTTTCAATGATTTCAAAAAGTAAACATCAGTTTGCAGGAACTAGTATAAAGGACACATGGACAATAAGAGGGGAGGAGTGGAGAAGGGAGGGAGGTGGGGAGGGTTGAAGGGGTGGGCTGGGATGGGGGTAAAGGGAAGAAAACTGTACTTGAACAATAATTAAAATAAAAAAAAAGTAAACATCATTCCTAGGACACAGGCCAGACGGAAACACTGCGGTCTGGATGTGGCCCGTGCGCCACTGTTGGCCAAGCCCTGACCTGTCAGTCGTACGTTCTGAAAGGAAACTTCAAAAAACAACATACAGAAAGGCCTCTCTTTTTCTCAATACATTACCTTTCAAAAATCAGTCAATCTTATTACTTACTTACTTTTAGCTTGTCTTTTAAAGCTTCGTTTTCTGCCAAAATCCTTCTTAAGTCAGATATTGCAACTTCTTTTTCCTTTTCCATAAGACTAACAATATTATGGGAGACTGTGCTTTGGGAGGATTCTTGTCGTAGTAAAGATAATTCTTCCCGAGCCTTCAAGAATTAAAAAGATATAAATAACACTTTGGATATGTCCCCAGTTAAAAAAAACAAAAACCAAAAAACTAAGCACATGCTACCTTTGCTCTCTTTCCAAATCCCCCAAAATGAGTAAAAGGATGAAAATAATCATAATCATAATCATAAGGAAATTGAGGGACGTGCCAGCCACAAAATCATGGAAACCAGACAGCAGATGGAAAACTAGTAATGAAGCAGACCCCAAACAGCTGAACTCTAAGCCAACAGTAAGAAAAGCCTAGAAATGGATTACTGTGTCCTGCAAAATCCCTAAAGTGAAAACACCTTTTTGAATTGATCTTCTAACCTGCATGTCCTTCTCCCCCTCTTGAAGTAGCAGGAGGATTTCTCGGGAGACTGAGAGGGGAACGAATTTAGGTGACAGCTACTGCGCCTTGTCTACACTCACCTTGGCCTGGCCGCTGAGGCTCTGTGACTTGGCCAAGCTGCTAGGGTTCCCTCTCCCCGAGTTTCCTCACCAGAGCCTAAGTCCTTAATATCCAATAGGCCCCCATAGCGGCTGCCACTCACTGTTTAATAGTCATATTCCAACACATCTGAATCCCATGAATTAATTTGGTTGGCTCAGAGTCAGCCTAAGACATGTTCCAGACAGTTTTAGAAATAGATTATCTCTAACCGACCTGACAAATAGTTAGAAAAAAAGAAGAAATACGAAAAAATAATAGAAATCTCTGCTTTGGGAACAGGATCATAAGTAGAAACTACTACTTATAATTCTAATTCTGAAGGAATACCATGAGATCCCTGCATTACAATAATTTCAAGGATATATTCTGGTTCCATTATAGTTAACTAGTTCTGTATAATGTTGGCTTAATTATAACCAATTTCTTACTTCATTATATAAAACACTCAGTTTATCTCTTTCTGCTGTCAATAATTTAACATTGGACTGTATATCCTCCATATGTTTTTCAAATCTTTCCAGCATATGCTGAAGTTCATCTCTTTCTCTTGCGATCAGATGAATTTCACAATTGTAATCACCCTGAAACATAAATTAAAAACAGAAGTTATCATTTGTTATAATTACAACCATAAGGTAATCACAAGGATGCTGGTGATGAGACTGACCTAAAGATGCTGACAAAAAACCCAAAAGTTTTTTCAATGTAATTGTGGAACACAATTCTTAACCCATAGTGAGAGGACATGAGAGGGCTGGTGGTAGTGGGGCAAATTTCCTGGCCTTCAAATTCCCAGGAGGGGATGCAGCCGCCAAGGATACTATTTGATCAGATCCCACCTGATGCTTCAACTGTCATTCCCTTGAAGTTACTTATACTGGTGGTACCTAAAGTGTCATCCCCAGGCCAGAAGTATCAGCAGAATCTAGGAACCCATTAGACATCCAAGTTTCGGGAACTGACCCAGACCTACTCAATCAAAAACTTTCGAGACAAGCCCTAGTAACTGGTTTATCGAGGCCTCCAGGTGATTCTGGTGTGTGCTAATTGTGGGGAAACACTAGTTCACAACCATCTCTGGGGCAGAGACTAGGTGCACTGTGTGCCTGCTCACCCAGTGCAAGTAACTGTAACAGACTAGCACATTCCTCAGTGCTTTTCTGTGACAACCTAAGATCAATGGCCTAGACACACCAACCCCCGGCTGTCCCAGCTTTAAACCAATATGAGGTCTACTTTTGTGATCAGGTAAATATAAATATTTCTACCAGGCAGTGTATGTACATTAATCAACTACATCCAACATGTCTAAAACAAGATTGTAGCAATCATTCCAGTACAATTCAACAGACCCACTATCTTCACAACAATTGTGGAAAATAAAGATGATAAATGCCGACTTGGGATCTATGGTATCTCACTGTTAAAGTACTAAGTTCAGAAGACCTGGGTAGGGATAATCAGATAATTTGATACACTGGCCATCATCCTGATCTGTGTTATTCAGTATCTCCTGTGCACATACCACATCCCATGTGGAGCTGGTAAATGGTAGATATTTGTGGGGTACCCCTTGCCTGTAACTTGGAAATGAACTATCCTCTTGGCGAAATAAGGAAAATCAAGGCATAATAGATGAGGTTAGTTATCTGGACACCTTATCACCTCCTATAAGACATTTTATCAGCAGATTAAAATTTGAGGACTTAAGGCTTGAGTAACTATAGAAAATCTATAACCTGAATAAAAATATCTTACAGACAGGAGGTGGTCTACATGGATTTCAGAGAAGGAGCACCTAGTGAGTAAGGATTTGACGGTCTATTTTTTCTATCGTCTAGGTCTCAGCTTAAATGCCACTTTCTGTAAGGAGTTCTTCCAGATTCTCCAATCTAACTTAGACCTCCCCCTCTATACGCTCTCATAGCCTTCTGAATCTTTCCTGAATTCTTTTTTCATTAACATTTATATCAATAAGATTCTAAAGTAATTCACACGCGTATGCATTTAATCTATGTTTTAACCACTAAAACGTAAGCTTTATGAGGGACGCAGTAGGTGTCTGCTCTTACTCACCACATCTTCAGTGCCTAGCATGGTACCTGGCAGAATGTGTGCATTCCCCTAGCATTTGCTGACTGGCCTTCTGAAGCAGGAACTCTAGCTCTTTTCTAAATGTATCTTGTATGTGGATATTTATACTTGTGTTAACATATAATTATTGATAAACTTCCTTTTATCACTCTATTGTTTTCAATACACATATGCACCTACACGATGCTCAAGGTGATAAGGCTAAGAATTATGTCTTCTTTACCTCGTATTTCTGGTGCCTTGGCATATATTTGATGAACTGAATCTGACTTTTGACATAGATTTGATTTGCTTTGAACCAGAAAATGATAAAGAAATGAAACATTTACTAGGAACTAGATTTTATACTAGACTCTTATGCAAATCATCTCATATAATCTTCACAAGAGATTTTAGTCACTTTCCTCACTTTGCAAATGAGGAAACCAAAGTTCCAAGAGGTTAGATAACTTGTCCAAGTTCATAAAGCTGATTTGTGGAGTTAGTACTTTCAACAGGCCTCCAACTCCAACGCACTTTCCACTACACAAAACTTGTGATTGGAACCATATACTCAAAACTTGCAATTGGAACCACAGTGGGTACAAGGTGAAAGGGGACAGTGCCCCCTCCAGTCCTCAGCACTCACGACTGTCTTACACTCCACCCGTTTCACTAGTGAACATGCCCACTTCCCTTCTATGCCTCCAATTTACCGCCGGGGCTCTAAAATGCTCTGAACGCCTCAACTTCTAAACTCTGGAAAATGAATTCCTTATCCATATTAGTTAACATTAGAAAATTTCAAGAAAGTGAGTAAAATTGAAAGGGGAAAATGTCTCTTGATTTTACCAGTACCTTAATAAAATCTCTCATTTGTCTTTCAATTGTGAACCTATACCATCAACTGAATTGAATCTTTAGGTTGAAAGCTCTGAAATATTTATCTACTCAGTTCTATTTAATAAATATTTGATTAAATTAACCAACCATTTTTGTGGAAGATTCTCCTACACAATGAAAGTGACAAATTTGGTGAGTTATTTTTCATGAGTCTCAACTATATATGGGGATTAAAAAATAACTCTATAACATAAATTAATTTATACTGTATTTTCCCAATTGTTCTCCTTATAAAATAAAATACTGTCTATACTGACTCTTGTATAACAGAATGACAAATTCAGCCATTAGTCAATGAGGTTAAAAAACAGTCTAATCAGAATATGACTGAAAACCATTTGACAACTGACAGGATCTTCAGGAAAAGGATGACGGAATTGGCCAATTCAGCCAAGTCTGAAATCAAATGTTTTGAGTTTTAATGACCTTACTCCCAGCTTCCCCTAATTTGATCTAGTATGCAGTAATGTTATGGTAATAAAGCCCCAGGACTCCTATGGCTCCAAAGCCAGAAAACAAAACAAAACAAAAAAAACCTACAGAATTCAAATGATACTCACAAAATAATGATACTCATAAAACAGTGAAAATAATTAAGACCTAAAATAGAGACTCATGATTGTAATCTCTCAGGAATCATGACTAACTTCACCTCATGTATATCTTTAGACTGCCAACTTGTGAAGGTGGCTGCAGCGGGAACAGGCTGACCTGCCTGGCACCCTGGCACCCACCTCCATTCACTATTTTCTCCCATTGTGTGATTAACACGGAGATGCCTGGCCTGCACCACGTGATCTGCTCTTCTGACTAGTCCAAGGCTGGGAATGGCATGAAACCATGGGGCCTGCCATGCGGACAAAGCCATTCTGCTTCGAGAGAGAAAGTGCAGCTGATGCCAAAAGCAAAGGTTAGAAAGAGAAGAAACGTCCACTAGCTCAAGTTCCGGGTTCCGGTTTCTGGAAGCCCAGAAGCCCTTACACTCCTCCCATGTATGTAACGAGCTATTCAATCTTCCCTTAAGTTCCAGAAATCAGTATATCATGCTTTGTTCTTGAGTAGTTTCCTAATTAATGCAGTATTCCTGTAGTTTAGGTCATGGAAGGAAACAAAAATCAAAATTGAGAAAGAGTTTTTAAAAGCAAGTATGAAAACAGTTAGAATTCATACAGTAACAAACCAGAGAAGTTTGTTCAAAAAGATATTCTCTTATCAATTACACTGATAAAGAGATATTACCTTTTCTAGCATTTTAGATGTTGGAATTTTTTCACGTACAGAACAATTTGTAGAGCAAGATCTTCGCTGTATTATATGCTGGAGTCTTTCGAGCTCTTTTTTATAAAAATCTCGTTCTTCTTCTATACTTTTCAGAAATGCATCTAAACGAGAAGGTGACTTGTCTCGACGTTTTATCCCATGCTCCAGCCTCATCCTCTCAACTTCCAAAGTAAGTTCTCTTTCTGAAAATGAAAAATAATTCAATCTTAAAAGTGCTGCATTTAAATTATATAATTAGCCAAATAAATTGTATCTATTATTTTTAGAATGCAAGCCACTAAAAATCATTAACTGTTTTGTACATTGCCTATAATTGCCAGATACTGAAGAAGCAAATACTGAGAGAAAAGGAGAAAAATAGTCTTTAGAGAGACACCAGTTTGCTTCTCTGACGAGAACAAAGGTACCACGAGAGCAGGGACCTTGTGCATCTTCTTTACCTTCCCGTCCCAGTACCCAAAACATCTGGCACACAGCAGGCTCATAAACATTTGTCTAATGAATGAGTGAGTGCATGAATGAATGAATGAATTCTTACATGTTTCTTAAAAAATCTCATTTAGGACTGGCACCGGGCAGAAAAGTAGCCTACTTCATTTGTGTGTGTGTATACTTTCAAGTGGAAGAACTACATTTCCTTATAAATATTCTGTTCTTTCATTTTTCACTTTTAGAATAGTCTTCCCCTTAGTCTTATATAATTCTATTGTTGTTTTGCCTCAAAGAATACACTTCTATTTGAAACTATTGAAGCAGGGTTTCCTTTACTAGTCAAAACAAAAGGAATTCTGCCAGGCCCTCGAGGGGTAAAGGTTTCCTACAGCGCTACAGTGCCTCGTATGGCTTCTGTTGCACACAAGCACTGAATGGATGCGAGACCATCTACTAAGGAAAATAATACATCAAGAGAAAATAACAATCACTTTGTAAGTTGTCAACATTTTACATTTTACCTGTAACTCCAAAACTTTCAATTTTTTTGCTAAGTCTTTGCTTTTCTTGTTCAAGCTGATGAATAACAGTTTCCAGGTCTGATTTTATAAGGAGTTCATCACTCAGTCTCTCTTTCTCTTTACGGCATAAGCTTAATTCCTGCAAATTTAATACTATAATCAAGATTTCAAACAATTTTATAAAATATCATAGCACTTAAAAGAGATATGTTTAAAAGCATGTTTATTTAAGAGTAGCTCAAATACACACACACACTTTAGTCAAATGTATGGTTTCAACCAAATTAATGATCAGTTATGGCTAAAAGCAACATAAAACCTAAATATCAATGGTGTTCTTTTCTGAGTAGCAGAATTATTAGGTTTTTATTCTTTTAATTTGTTTAGCAAATTGTCCTATATTTAAAAAATAAATATGTACTTGTATAATAAAAAAATTAAAGCTTTTTCACTTTTAAAGGGGGGCAGAAGAAAGACATAGTGTTCTAAGAGTACCATGGGCATCTGTAACTACATTATTCTCTCAACCTCATCTGCACAGTGGAGATCGGACCAGTAACTGGATGCCAACAATGCACTGGCGAGAAGGAATCTATGGAGGTGAAGCATTCTGCACAGTGTCCAGCACATGGCAAGTGCTTAATTACTGCTAGCTGTAGAAATTAATATTTTCCTTAAAATACATAAACATGGCACTATTAGAAAAGACAGAAAAGGTCAGAAAGTAAGCACAGCAACATCTTACTGTCTGCCAACCAACACAGGATAATGTGGTCACAGTTCTGACACCAGCACTGTCAATTGCACTGAACTGCGTATAGTGTGCACAACAGTAGCAGCAAACAAACAGCAAAAATCCCTGCTCTCGTGGAGCTTATGCAGAGTTTAATGATGTAAAAACATCATCAAACATGTAGATGTTTGTCTACTTTCTGTTTACTGACCTCATGGGAGAAATTTATAGTATCTATGAGACTAAAGAACGGACAACATTTAGCAGGTTTAGCTAATTCTATTATTCAATATTGAATTGAACTGAATACCTATAGTTGAATAAAAAGAGTCATTGAGATGTTGCCCACAGTGAGCATATAAAAATCAACAAGCATCTGAGCTCATACTATGTGCCAGCATATCACAGTGGCTTCACTTCTAAGTTTGCCCTATGCCAGCAGCACACCGCGCACTAGAATGTACGCAGAGCACGCAGAGCAAGAAAACCTGGAAATTAGCACTAGTCTGTTTCCAATCTTAGCAGAAACTCATCCAATTTAACAAGCTATTAAAAAACCCCTCAATAATCATTTGGGTGACCACCCAGGAATTTCTACCCATAAGCAAGACATTCTGCCAGTTTTAGACTATATAAGACAATATTGTATGTCTAGGCTTATGTTGGAATCATTGCTAGCATTCTGACTTGAAGAACAAGTAATATGACTAGGAAAATGGTTTGCACTACCAAACAAAGCTATTAAAAGAGGAATGAGTACTTTAATAAAAGTCAAGAATGTCATCAATTATTGATTTCTAGTTTTAATATTTATAAAAATATTAAATATTTAATAAATATTTATAAGTTGTCAGGGGCTGAACAGAGGAAAACGGGGAGTGCCTACTAGTGGTATAGTTTCTTTCTGGAGTGATGAAGACGTCCTGTCATGTGACAGCAGTGATGGCTGCACTGCTTAGTGACTATACAAAAACCACTAAATTGTACACTTAAGAGAGTATTATAATGTGTAAATTATATTTAAGTAAAAAATATGTATGTAAAATAAAGCATAAAAATTTTCTTACCAGAAGTTCTGGTGATTCAACATGACACGTACTTACCAGTTGAAGTTTTGCCATTGTTTCTTCAAGATTCCGCATCTCAGAAAGATTTCTTTTAATCTCTTTCTAGGAATAAAAAGTCTATTAGATAAATACCTAAAAATCAAGAATACTTAGCACTAAGTCACAGTGCAAATGAGATCATTTTTTAAGTAATTCATGCTCCCTCTCACCAGTGATTTCTGAGGCTTTAGACCTAAGCCTACATTTCAACGAAGAGGAGGCCAAGTTGAGGCTTCTCTTTAATTTCTTGGTATCGTGAATGCTTACAGGGAGCTAGATGCGAGAACTGAAAACTCTTTTTGGCCTGTGTACCTGAAGGACTGTCCTGGAACCCTGGTTTTAGAATTCGTCTTACAGCACTCTTGTTTCCTCATCTTACTATCCCATTGCTCTCCCCGCACGGATGACGACCAGCCTGGATCCTCCGTACTACAACTGTCTTCTTTAATTTCCTTCAGCAATACTGTATGGTTTCCAGTGCACACTTCCTTGGTTAAGTATATTCCTAAGTATTTTATTCTTTTTGATGCTATTGTAAATGGGATTATTCATTTGCTTTTTGGATTTTAATTATTAGCGTGTCAAAACACACCTGATTTTTGCATGTTGTTTTGTATCCTGCTACTTTGCTGGATTTATCCGTTCTGCTGTGTGTGTGTGTGTGTGTGTGTGAAATCTTTATGGAGTTTTCTACATATACGGTCACGTCATTTGCAAACATAATTTTACTTCTTTCTTCCCAATGTGAATGCATTTTATCTCTTTTTCTTGCCTAAGTGCTCTGGCTAGGATTTCTAGTACTCTGTTGAACAGAAGTGGTGAGAATGAACATCCCTGTCTTATTCCTGATCTTAGAGGAAAAGCGTTCAGTCTTTTCACCACTGGGTATGATGTTAGCTGTGGGCTCTTCACACATGCCCTTTATTATGGTGAGGTAGTTTCCAATCTATTTAACTAGTTAGTGGTGGTGACACTATAAACTTAATTCAGTGATGTATAATAATGGTGTTCTTCAAACTAGGTTATACCCATTCCTGAGATAACATGAAGACTTTCCAAATATTATGTAAAACTATCACATACACATGGTTTTAAGGAATCAATGTCTGGAATCTTAATTTGCACATATAGTCCCTCTTACATATTATTTACCTGAGAATCTGCTTGTGGTCTTGTCATGTGGGTTCTCCTTTCCTACTTTCTCTCTCACAACTGCCTTTCCCCCACTTTTCAAACTAAAGACATACACGTAATGTCTGTCTCAAGATACAAGCAACTTTTGGAGTGCCATACAAAAAGATAATCTACAATGTTGGGGCTAGCCAAAAAAAATTTTAAGTAAGACACTATTTTCTCCCATTTCACCTCATTAAGAAATGTATTTCCAATAAAATTTTAGTTTTTTATTTAATAAGTATTTATCAAAATTTGTGATGTATTTGTCACTTTGATCACTAATAAGTGTAAAGATAGTGCTATTTGGAGGAATAATGCTACTTTTAACCTTAGAGTTACAGGACACTGTGAAAAATGAAACATTTCACTTTATGTATTTTTTATTGCAAACCCATTTGATAGGGTGATCATAAAAAGATATTCAAACATAGGATAAAATTTTGTGTGGATCTCAAGAAAGGGTCATTTGGATTCTAGTGGCTACATTTAGAAGATGACGTGACAGTTTTATTCTAAGAGATCAATATTTAAAATAGATGAAATTATATCCTTTGCATCTATGTAAATTTAAAGATAAAAGCTACCAACTTAAAAATTTCCAAGGGCATATATAGTTGGAGTTTTTTTTAAGCCTTTAATGGCTTTATGAGCACAACATGATAAAGACAACAAACTTCTGAAGTTCACTCACAATGCAGAGGTAAAAGAACAGATGGAAATATTGAAGGAAAATAGGGCACAGTGTGGAGAACTACCTTAATAGGTGTGTTTCACAAATGCAAACAACCAGAACAAGTGCAAGCATTTAGAGCATGTAAAACACTTTAGAAAAACATGAATTACAAAACAAAAAACCCAAAAGGCCTGAATGTGTATCAACAGGGCTCAAGCTCACTACATTCTAGGAGAAGTAAGGAGCACTCCCCGCACCTGAACATACCTTTGCTTCCCCAAGTTCTTTATCGGCAGTCTCAAGCACTTCTTCTTTATGTCTTTCCAACTGCTGTGCTAAATGGTCTATTTCAGTTAGTTCTTGGCAGAGTTTTTCATTTTTGTTACTTAAATTAACTACTTCAGTGGTCACTGTTTCCTTGGTTTCCATAAGCTCTTGTATATGCTTCTCCAGGTCTTTATTAGCTTGCTGAAGAAAGTCAACCTAAGTTGAATTTGTAATTTATAAGAAATATGAAATGGAAAATTATCCTAAATACTAAACTTTCAAAAAAAATGTCAAAATACTATATTTTTAAAATACCAAAAATTAAAGCCACAACTATTTTAAATTTGCAAACTTATAGTTTTCATTTGCAAAACTGAAAATGTATGGTTTAATAAAACCACCCATTTTTTGTGTGAACATTTTTCCAACATACATCAAGTTCTAAAAATCTGATGAGAATATCACTACAATGATACTATTACTCTAGACTATGATATCCAATGTAGTGGCCAACAGCCTCCACATGTGGCTACTGAGCACTCTGAATGTGGCTAGTCCAAACTGAGATGTGCTATAAAGGTAAAACAGACACAAGATTTCAAAGACTTAGCACAGAAAAATAATGTAAAATACTTCAGTTATATTTTATAACGTGAATTTCATATGATATAATATTTCAGCTACATTAAGATAAATACACTATTAAATCCATTTTACCTGTTTCTTGCTTTTTACTTTTGTAATGTGGCTACTAGAAAATTTTAAGTTACATACGTGGCTCATAAAGTTTTTTTTTTACTGGACAGTAGTACTCCAGGAACTACTGCTGACATTGGTGCCTTACTGTGTTCTGGTTCACCCCAGGCAGCACTGGTATGTCTGCATTTCTAAAGCTCATGCATTATGCTTTATGGACCTGATCTTTCACTTTTAGGTCAAGTGCATGGCAGGGAATCTACTATATAGGTAGTTAAAAACTACAAGTTTAATATTTGTATTTATTTTTTGAGTCCTCTTTTCTACATTATAAAGAAATATTGTCACGAAATTTTTGAAAATAAAGAAAGTGATGAAGAATAACCTATCACATAAAGATAAACTTTGTTATCATATTTTGGCTTATTTTCTTCCAGTTTCCTCTCTTTGAGTTTATATATACATTTTTAAAAAGCAAATTAAAGCCCTGGCTGGTGTAGCTCAGTGGATTGAGCTCGGGCTGAGAACCAAAGCATTGCAGGTTCAATTCCCAGTCAGGGTACATGCCTGGGTTGCGAGCCACATCCCCAGTGGGGGCCATGTGAGAGGCAACCACACACTGATGTTTCTCTCTCTTTCTCCCTCCCTTCCCCTCCCTAAAATAAATAAATAAATAAATAAATAAATAAAAAAAATCTTAAAAAGTATATTTTAAAAGAAAGCAAATTAAAGATCACATTGTCACTATAGTTTATTCTCTTCTTTTAAATATCTAACATTGTGGTGTATATGTTCCTGCCTCATTAAATATTCTTTACAAACAGGATTTTTCAATAGTGGTCCTTTTTATCTGGATGCACGTACTCTACCACCTTTTCCCCACTGTGCACAACACTTCAGGGAACAATCCTATTCCTCCCACAAGCTCGTGGGCGACCATAAACAGCCAGGAGTGTATACCCTCAGTAAAATAATGATAAAAGTCATTACCTGAATATTTAAATGTGCGATGAGCTTTTCGTTGGATTTGTTTCTGCTCTCCAGAGAGAGGATGTCCGAGGAGCGGCCGCCGTCCAGTGCGATGGACAGCCGTTCTATCTCCCTTTCTCTCAGCTCAATCTACAGACACACAGTCATGGCATCATTTTTAAAAGTACAGTTTTGAGCCAAAATGATTAACACTGAATAAACATTTATTTGGCTATACTTCCATTTTCTTATGTTGAACAATGCAGATGAGATTAACATTCATATATGTACCCACACATTATGAGATTGTGAAATACATATATGTTGAGCAAAAATAAAAAACACAGAAAATGTCAACATAAGAATTGTCAACATAGCTTTCATAAATATTCAATTATATAGATATTTCCTAATTTTGTTTTCTTTCCTTCTCTAAATTAGCATATTTACATAAAAACAAACTTGAGTATTGAAACCGAGTCTGAATTACTTCAGTGCTTAGTTCAATAAATGTAAAATAAACAAACAAATGTAAAACAAAAGAAAAATAAACTGCTACTGAAACTCAATATTGAAAAGGATAGAAAGTGTATGTGAATTTAATTATCATCATTTAGAAAACAACAAATTATTTATCATTCAGAAAACAACAAAAATCATGATCACTGTCAATCATGAATTCGCACTCATTCACATGCAAGAACTTGGAAAAATCCACACACATTCAAGCTTTGGTTTAAAAACAAAAAAACAAAACCGAAAAAAAACCCCACCAAGCATTCAATTCACCAATTCTTGAGCACAGTTCTAGGTATACAAAGATAAATAAAACATGGCACCTGACTTTCAGGAACACAGCTTTACAGAGAAAACTAGCAATTAAACCAATGATTGCTGTGTAATATGTTTGTTAATGGTAGAATAAAAGAAATAGGCATATGGCATCAAAGTACTTAAGGGAATAAAGTGATTCACTCTTCGTGATATGTGTACAACTGTGGAAATTAGTGCAGGTCTTACCAAATAAATTATGCTCAGAGAAGTTATAAATGATGCTGTGAAGAGGAAGGATGCTCCAGGCAGTGGCACAGAGCATAGAACAACATGGCTTGTTTGAGGGAGCAGAAATGGCTCAGTATGACTGGACTACAATGTGCAAGAAAACCAATGGTTGGGGATGAGTCTGAAGAATTGCACAGGAACTAATCATGGTAAACACTGAATATTTAGCCAAGGAGAAAGATTACTCTGGACTAAAGGATGAATTTGAAAGAATAAAACCAGAGGCAGGGAAATGTACTATAGGGAAGGAGGAGAGATGATTAAGGCCAAAAATAAAACAGAGGGATAGAGCAGAGCAGAAGGAATAACCGTAAGGAGTGCTCAGGCAGGAGAACGACAGAACTTGGCCAGCAGGGTGTGAAGGACAGAGCATGAGGTCTGGAAAGACTACAGAGTGTTGGCTGGGCAGACGGTGACGCTACCAAACACAGGGGGACACTCAGGAGGCACAGCATATTTGAGGCAGAAGCCAGGTTCAGTACTAGGCAGATGAGTATGAAGAGCCTTTACCCAAGTGGAAATGGCCAGTATTAAGCTGGACATATGGGTCTGGAGCTCAGGAGAGAGGTTCACGTCTGAAGTAGTCTGGGGGAGGCATCGACATAAGGCAATATTTTAAATCAAGAAAGTGGATGAGAACACCTGGGAAAACGTACAGGGACAGTAGAAAAGGTCAAAGACAGAATCCTGGAACACAGTAATATTTCAGGGAATGGGCAAAGTAAAAAACAAAGACAAAATTAGAAGATGTGGAGAAAAAAAAAAGAAAGCCAAAAGAAAATGGAAGGGTTTCAATGAGAAATTATAAATAATGTCAAATACTACATAGTAGGTCAGGAAAATAAAGACTAAATGTATCCTTTTGGATCTAGCAATTAATGTCACTAGTGTTATTAACCAGACTGATTTATGTAGTGGGGGGCGGGGTGGGGTAGGGAGAAGCCAGGCTGCAATAGGCTAAGCAGTGAGCAGGAGGTAAAGAAGTGGAGATGAGAGTCAGAGGCTCTAGAGAAGCTGCAATGAGAAGGAAGGAGGAGGCATGAGCAAGCTGGAAAGGCAGTTAAGGAAAGATTTTTAAGGGATGGTAGCGATGACTATCACAATACCTTCTCCTGAAGCTTGAAGGAATAATTACAATGTAACCATGTAAGTGTTTGGTAAAGAAAGAATAATTCATTAAAGTAAGGTCTTAAGAGGGGAGAGGGGAGGAAATTTCAGGGGAATTTCAGGGGAGAATGGGAAGGGTTTACAGGAACAAATATAAAGGACACATGGACAAAAATTAGGGGGGTGGAAATGGGAGGGAGGTGTGGGTGGGCTGGGATGGGAATAAAGCACAGAAAACTGTACTTGAACAATAATTAAAATAAAATTAGAAAAAATACAATTTTTTAAAAAACGCATTACTGGACTGAAATCAGACACAAAGAATATATACTTTATGCAGTTTCATTTCCATAAGTTTCAAATACAGGTCACACTATCTGATGATGTTAGAATCCTTGGAGTGCACAGGGGGGTTTCTGGGAGACAACTCATGTTTTGTTTCTTGATCTAGGTGCTGGTTACTTGGGTGTGTACACTGTGTAAAAATTAATTGATCTGTTGTTATCTTTTTGTGTACTTTCCTGTACATGTATTATGCTTAAGTAAAATGTTTAAAAAGTTGGGGAAAAAAAGGAGAAGAGGGGAAATGGGACCAAACACAGAAGCAAGAAAGACTAAACCTTACTTGAAGAACATTATCCTACCCATCAAGTCTTGAGAGCCTGAGTGTGAATACTGCTACTTTTAAAGACAGAGATAGGAGGTTGAAACAAGCTGATATCCTGAGGAGGAGGGTATTATAGGTTGGGGAAATAGTTTGAAAGAACAGCAAAATTTAGAATACAAGCTGAGAAAAACAAAACTCAAGGAGAAAAAAACAGGCAGCAGACTGGACTCAGCTGAGATTGCTAACTGCAAGAAATTGGCAGCTTCCATCAGAACAGTCAGGCTATGTTCCCCAGACACCTCAGCCATCTCGCAGATGGTGAAGACTGGTGGGTTTACATTCATAAAGTACTTCAAAAAAAATGTGATGAAAATGTGATTAAAGGTTAAAAAATACCAATAATATTCAACTCATGTACATATTTATATTATAAACATCTCTCCATAAAGTTAGTTTTTTTGGCTGACATTACTATCATTTCTTTTCTTTTAACTCCGTTTTTATCCAAATAATCTTCAAAGTACTTTATAAATATAAGAGTTATACCAACCAAAACATAAGTTAAATCTATATTTGCATGTGCAAATCACATCACTCCAAAAAAGTACAAAAAATGAAAAATGTGTTACCCAATTTAAACTTCAGTAAGCATATTAAGAAAAGAAGCCCGTAATTACCCAAATCAGCATTTAGTCAGGACACCGGCAGGAAGTGTGAGAGAACAAAGGTCGTGTGGCTGTGACCTGTGCCTGTGTCTACTGACTCTCCCACCTCTTCTGAAAACTGTTATGAGACACTATTTCTTGTAGGGAAACAAAACCACAAAAATATACAGCAACAAAGGAGTAACTTTCAAAGAGACTTACGTTCAAGATGACAAAATTTGTAAGTTTAGAGTAAAAAAAATTAAAAGACCATTATAAAGCATTGTATACTTTAATAAAATATCTCCTAGATGAAAACAGTAATACAGTCATAAAATTATATTTGAGGAAGTAGATGATTCACCTAAAACAAAAACAAAATAACAAAACAAATGAAAAACTCCTATTCACCTAAATGAATAATGAAGTGAATAGGCCAGAATTGCTCTAAAACCATCTAAGCCACTCAGGCTATTAACTCTATTAACACGTTGGTGAAAAAGATAAAGCTGTATAGAAAACTCAGTTATCAGTAGTATCAAATGTAACCACTTCTATTTACAATGCAAGTATACCCATCTCAATCCTTCCTATTGTAAATAAATAAAAATCCTACCTGCTTGTTGTAATCTCTCAGTCCACTTTCCATCACTGCTAGTTTTTCTTGTAACTGATGGACTTCCTGTTGAAGCTCTTGAATTCTGAAACACATTCATAAATAATGCCAATATACTTTTGTTAAGAAATACAAAATAACAAGAAATAAAACTAGATATATTCCTTTATAAATCCTCTACTTTCTGTTTCTTAATGAATTATGAAGTGTTGTACCATGCATAGAGAATATCATCTTGTAAAGTTAATCTCATAAAAACAGCTAAAAAATTGAGTGGTAAATAATTTTAAACTCAAACCTACTTATTGAATTTTGATCCTTAGGACAACCCTTTCAGATGCTGCTGCTAACTGTTAGGTTCAGAAAATTGAGAGTATCCAAAATTTGTAAGATTATTAAGTGAAATAAGGGCCTTACATGGGTTTCCTGATCCTTACTGAGCCTGTATTTTATAATAAACTATCTACCCTGTAATCCTGGAATGAAGGAAAATATTGAGAAATTCTACAATTTTCCAAGTAATTACAGCAAAAAAAATAGCTACTCTTTTCTGGCACTTGTTAATTCTAACTGCATCAAGATTTGTCCAAATTACCTGAATTCTACAATTGCCCAAATGTATTTGTATTACATCCAACCTTTCCAAGCATTAACATATATTACACACCACTTTCATACTGGAAAGATAAAGCCTGAGGCCAGGTCTGCTTTTCCATGGGGTGGAGTAAGAGAAGCTGGACACAGCTCGTCACTGCTATCACTGGAACCAACGTTTTCTACTGATCTACCTTTAGGAGAAGAGTACATACGCAACTGCACTCATACTTATGCACGAATGACTGAATGAAAACACAACATGCATGTGCAAATTAAAACAAACAAGATAATCAAGAGACTAATGCCACCTACAATGGTTTGATAGAAAAGAAAAATGATAAGGAGAAGATAAAAACAAAAATTATATATATATATATAATTATTATATATATATATATTTATATATATTTATATATAATTATATATATATATAATTATATATATATATATATAATTTTTGTTTTTATATAATATATGTAATTATACACACACACACACACACACACACACACACACCCAAAAAACTCCTTAAATAATACTAACACATTGCCTAATAAGTCCTAGATTATAACTGCAATGGAGGAACACAAACTGTTTCAGGGTTAAGGTCAGATAACCATAGAAATACAGGTACATAATATTGCGTGAGGATAACTAAATTAAGGGATCTTAATGAGTACCTCAACCAAAGTACTTTTTTAGATTGTTATGTTAAAAATAATAAAATGGAAAAACTGCCTCATACTCTCCGCATAATCTGCAAAATTAAAAGTTATCTGCACTGTCTCCAGCGGGGTTCCATACTGGAAAATGTTTCTCCAGCTGTGATGGCGGAAGCTGTCACTAGGGCTCTCTTGCTCCTCTGAGCCCCTTGCACTTCTCTCGATGGCATTTGTGTATTTCTCCTGTCTCACCCTCACCGCCAGATCGCAAACTTCTCTAAAGTGGCGACACCGTCTTACTCAATTTTATATCATGCCCGAGACACTGATATTGTGCCTTTCCTCGACAGCTTAACAAAGTTAAAAAAAAAAAAAAAGAAATTTATATCTGATTCAAATTTAAGCAAATACAAACATACAGAGCTAAAGACTCATGAAGCAAGATATTCAAAGCCAGTTAAACCTATCCATGTCCATCTGCATTTGACGTAAATCTGAAGTAAGAGAGTCTTGGAAAATATAACTTTACTTTGGATGACGAAACTAAATGTCAAAGCAACTCCTACTGAAAGAGGTTCTAGACTGCACTAAACTGTTTTAAAAGCAAATATGGACAGAAACATTAGGCATGTAATCTATCTGAAATCAAAGTTTCAACACAAGTAACAATATTCTATATTCAGAATACATTCAGAAAGTTATAAACTTAGTGCTTGTTCAAAGTTCTCTGCCAGGCACTGGAGATACAGCAATTAAAGAGACAAGAGCCCTACAGTCAAGAAATTTACAGTTAATCAAGTGGTCAGTTAAGTCAACAAAAGATTATGTAATGTACCTATTATCAGCCACTTGTAGGAGGTCTGCAATGTAAGGGTCATCTGGCTGAGGAACTGGATAGGAAGTGACTTCAGAAGGAGGGACTGGTTCGTCGATTTGCATACGCTGGCGCCTGAAAGCAATATTTCTTTTCTTGCCACCTAAGAGAACAAATGTGTATTTCAAAAAATTAAAAAGAAAGAAACCATTGTCTTAGAATTAAATATTCCAGAAGGTTACCCTTTTTGTTAAAAACTATGTCTCTAGCTCATATTATACATGGATAAGATGCTTTCTCCCCCATATGCAAATACCCACCCTGATCTTTACATGGTGCCTTCCTGGAAACCTCAACAGATGTGGTATGACACAAGGCTTATTTTCTGCATGCTTGGCATGTGTGTCCAGATTTAATCTGCTCTTTCAGTAGATGGGGACCAGATATTGTCAAGATTAAAAGTTGAGTGTACCCTATGGTGTTTATTGCGTGAGCTCGAGAAGCCACCTCCAACAGAAAACTGTGGAACAGGGAGCTCAGGGCAGTGAGGACTGCCTTAGCACATATGCTCATTAAGCAATGCCAAAAGAGCAGATAATTGAAATTTTAAGTAGCAAAACTAGTCTATAATGGAATGTCACCTGTAATATAAAGTCATGCTATAACTGGAATTAGTGGGGAATGTTTTAATTCATTATCCTTAAAAATAGCAGGAGTAATTTCTTTTTATGAATGAGTATACCCTGCCTTAGTGCAAACCACATGGATACCTTTTCTAGCATCTAACCAAAATTAGACATGTACTTAAAAGCTCACTGATCCTCACAAAGAAAAACATAACCCACAACTCTGTCTTCCTTAGAATCTTAACAAATTTGGTATACTCTTACCTCTCATTTTCAAGATGAAGCAACAGACTCAACAGTATTTAAATGACCTATTGTACTTATACACTTATACAGGACAAACCATTTTCTTCTTCCCTTATCTACTGATTTTCTTTCTTGGTTGCTCCTCAGTTTTTTTCAGTGAACTTCTTCCATGAGTCCCTTCCCTAGGGTCTTTGGTTCCCCTCTTCCCGACTACACAATCTCACCAGAAATTCCTACCACATCCCTAGCTTCAATTCCCAAAATACCCCAATGACTCCCAACTTGAATCTCCATCTGGGATTCTACCAACAGATCTACATAACCCACCATACCAGAAATCTCAACGTTCCATGTAACACCCTCAACACATGCAAAAGTGGACTCCTGCTCCACCTCCCACATTCTCTATTTTAAGAAATAGTACCACCACCCACCCATAAGTCACGTGAAACAGAAATCTGAGATTCCCTCTCACTGTCCAAGTCCACCACATTCAGTTACTATCTAGAGACCCTACCTCCTGAATCTCTCTTGAATCTGTCCTTCTTTTCTCAGAAAACCAGATTACCCTCTTTTTTTTCTCAACCTTCTAGTTACTTCTGAGATCTTTCCCACTTTTCCCCGTCTTTTCTGCCACGGGCTCACAGTCCACTTCTCCATCTCATTTCCTGCCATCTTGAGCTCCACTGATTCTTCTCCACCTAATCTGTCAACTCTCCTGAGTTTCCTCTCTGCTCAGCCTGAAGCACACAACAACACGATTGTGCCACTTGGAACTATGCTAACTTCTAGATCTTCAATTCCCTTCTGACCATAACCTTCATCTGACCAAATTACTATTGGTCCACACCATGCTCCTTAATCTCTCAGCCTCTACCCAGTCTCATTACCCAACACCTTTCTGTTGTGCCTCAGTTACTTCTGTATCTTGATCCCATGGTTCATGTATCTCAACAATCTTGTCACTAGTTTTGGACATTCTTCTGACCTTATGTCTAGACAGCCATCAACCTGGATATGCCCCATCATTTCTTTTCTCTTCTTTAAGAACTACTGAGCATAAAATTAAAAGTAGTAAAATAAATTAAGAAAGTATATATTTTCCAAATTCTCTGAGTATGGATTACTTTTACAACTAACATAACAACAAAGGAAAGAGAATTTAAAATAGTGATTAAGGAAATAAAATCCTGGGTCCTGAAGTTAAACTTCTTACATCTAAGAAGCTATTATAAGTTTCTAAGCACAGGTAAGAAGTACCACAGGACTATTCAGAAATAAATGGAAACGTTTACGTGGCTACCCAAATATGTCTTTTCATATACTAAGGTCCAAGCATGAATTACCAAGGTCCTATTTCAGTCAATAGCTGAAATGTCTCTAAAAATTTAAATGTATGTAATTTGTTTGGAGAAGAAAGAGACTTACCTGGAGTTTGTACAACAGCATGCAAATTCTTCTCTTGAAGTTGTTGAATTTTTTCATTCTTAGCTTTACTCTCTTTCTCCACAAGTTTGAGTTTGTGAACATATTGGTTATTTAGAAATTTCAGATCAGCTGTTTCACGTGCACACTTCTTCAATGTGGTTTTCAACTCTTAAAAGATTCAAAGACTATTTTACAGATTAAGAAATCTATAAAATTCCTCCAGTTCACAAAATACAAAAAGTCATCAAATTGAAAGGCTCTACCTGATTCTCATGCATGCTTTTTTTGAAAGGCTGTTACCTTTTCTAACACTATCAACAAAACTGCAAATAAGTCATTAAGCACAAAAAGGAATTATGTTTTTCTTCTGCTATATGAGCTTAATCTAAAACCATCACTTCTGATCCAGTAAATTGGGTATGAAGCTAAGAAATCAGAATTCATATCAGGTTTTGGACAGGGCTTTCAACTAAATAGGAAGAATTTATAATTTATAAAATATAGCCACATAATTACCCTTTTCCCAGTACTTTTGAAAATCATCTTATTGTACCTTCCAGCTCAAAGATGGAGCATTCAAGAATCAGAATGATATATGACTTTTAACTGACTTGATCCTCCTATTTTCAGTACAGGAAAAACAAAAGTTGCTTCAAGAATAGTCCCTCAGTTCCAGCATTTAATCTGTTCTACAGCAATTGTAAATCTAAAAACTTAATCCAGATATAGTATAGACAAATACAGATATGGAATGAAAATTTGTTTTACTTCTCAGGAAATGTTCTTGCTGTTAGCAAGATTATCACATTTTTTAATCAATAGTTTTAAAATTAGACTAATCTTTCCTACATATAAAATGAAAAGGGCAAAAATACGGCATTTAAAAAAAATCACAAAATTTTACCTTTAATGTCCTGGGCTGATTGTTCTCTCAGTTTCATTAATTCCAGGTATAATTCATTATTTTCCCTGCTCAATCTTGTATTTTCAAGTTTATAAGGTTCCAAGAGAAAATCAAAATTGGCACTTTCCTTTTCAGCTTTCACAGCAGATAATTTTGATTTCCGAAGACTTTCTGTTGTATGAACTAGGTCACTAGAATTAAAGAACAGAAAACATAAATACAAGGAAACATTATATTAGCTTTCTAATAACTAAAAATATAATTATAAAAGGTTTCAATATGTTAATGCTAAGTCAACCCAAGTCTAAAAACAAATACTAGGAGACTTTCAAGGTACCAGAAGTATCAAAAAACTTCTCAAAACAAGATCTGATTGAAAGTTACACACTATACACTCATAGTTAGAAACATCTTGAATCTCCCCTCTCACTCATTCCCATGCCCTATTAGTCACCTGATCCTGCAGAATCTGTGAAACTTATTTGTTCATTCAGCAAATATCTGAGTGACTGTTATATGCCAAGTGCCAGGTACACAATAAATACGAATTAGTTCCTTACTTTGAAGAACATAGATCAGTGGAATATTTACTCCACCAATATTTACTGAACAGAAGACACAATAAAGAATCCATTGTCATCATGGAGCTGATATTCTACTGATAGTTTGTCAGAAAGTTGTAATATTATGTGATAAACTCAACAAATATTTCAGTGTCTACTCTTTGTTCAGTCTGTCCTAGGTACAGCAGTGATACAGTTAATCTCTAGTCTCATGGAGTTTGAATTCTAAAGGGAAGTCAAAAGGAAGTTTCCAATAATAATAATAAGTTAACACAGGTGTGACAAGAGTCCTAAGGACCATGTAGCCAACCAAGCACACAGGCAGCGGGAAAGCAGAAAGGACCTTCGCAGGCAGACAGAACAGCACACAGAGAGACCAGCAGTGAGAGTGCACATATGTTTAGGGAGCTGCGAGTGCTCAATACATGGGAGACAAAGCTGCAGGGAGTAGATCAGGAGGGGTTTTGACGGCCATACCGAAGACCACAAAATATTTTCCATCCATTCTCTCTTTTTTATCATTGTTTCTCAAGCTCCTATTGCAGTGATTTTTAACCTTTTTTATCTCATGGCCCACATAAACTAATTACTAAAATCCTTCAGCATAGCAAAAAAATGTATTTTTTGCCAATCTGAAAAAAAAAATAGGTATAATTTTGATTCAGTCACACCGGACTACTATTACTGCATTGGCTGCTGTCATTTTTTAATTTAACAATCTAAGGGAAAAGAGGTCAGTGCCTCTGACTAAATAGGCAGGTATTGCATTTTTTAAAAAGATTTTATTTATTTTCATTTTTATTTTTTTAAAAGATTTTATTCATTTTTATTTTTTAGAGAGGGAAGGGAGGGAGATAGAGAGAGAGAGAGAAACATCAATGTGTGGTTGCTGGGGGTTATGGCCTGCAACCCAGGCATGTACCCTGGCTGGGAATCGAACTTGCAACACTTTGGTTCACAGCCTGCGCACAATCCACTGAGCTATGCCAGCCAGGGCTCAATTTATTTATTTTTAGAGAAAGGGGAAGGGAGGGAGGAAAAGAGGGAGAGAACTATCAATGCCCAAGACAAACATCAATCAGTTGCCTCTCTTATACCCCCAACTGGGGACCTGGCCCACAACCCGTGCATGTGACCTGATTGAGAATTGAACCAGTGACCTTTCAGTTTGTGGGTCGATGCCCAACCCACTGAGCTACACCAGTCAGGGTTGGTATTGCAGGTTTTAAAAATTCTCGTGGCACACTCGTTAAAAATCATTGTCCTACTGCAATAGCTCCCTAAGCAATTTCCCTGCTCCAGTCTCAAACCACAGTAATAGAGCTCATGTAGAAAATAAAATCACAAAGGATCTTTTAGTTAAAATAACATATAATAGCTAAAGAAATGGCTAACAACATGTTAGAGAACCATTAATAGTAATTAAAGACCAGTGAGTGAGGCAGACACAGAACTCCCAATTATATCAGAAAATCACATTAAAAAACCTATAATTCTACTCACAGGGAAAACCCTCAGAAATGTGTACTCTGGATGCTATTGTGTGACTGGTAACCCCTATATGTGGAGGCCCTGAACCAATGATGGAGGAGTAGAATCTAAGATGAAGAGATGAGCTTCAGATGATTTAAGGGCTTTTTGAAAACCTACCCATTGCTTTACTGGAGTATGAAGTTCAATCAGAAACCAGGTAAGTTGCATTAAGGATCATACAGGTTTAGAAGTATAGTCTCATCTTTACCTGAAAAGTTTTTCTACCAAAGGTAAACACTCCACTGTCAGAGTCTGGCGGTATCCCAGCTGATCCAGTCTTTTTCTAATATTAATATACTTTCTTTCTGCAGCTGTAGTCATCTTGTCTTCCAAAACCAGTTTTATTCGCTTCCAAAAATTAAAGTCCTAAAAGAAAAGAGTGAAATGTCCTTCTATTATTATAACTATTATTATTATTATTTAGAGATTTTATTTATTTATTTTTAAACAGAGACAAAGGGAAAGAAACACCCATCTTGCCTCTCACATACTCCCAACTAGGGAAAATGGCCTGCAACCCAGACTCATGTCCCGACCAGGAATCGAACTGGTGACCTTTACGCTTGCAGGATGACGCCCAACCCACTGAACTGCACTGGTCAGGTCAGGGCTACAGCTATTATTTCATGATAAGAAGAAAACACTTTTTTAATAGGAAGCAATTATTTTTCTCTTTAGGTAGGCAGACTTTAGGAATATTTAGATTTATTGAAATAGAGTACTTATGATATTCTTATTGCTGCATTAACATGAATATCTGTTCATTAAACTATATGTAAAAGTGAAAACAATAATGCTTCTAGAAGAAAATATTTTCCTGAGCCTGAGGTAGGCAGAGAACCCTTGGAGAAGTCTCTTTAGAAAACACTAAACATAAAAGAAAAACTCAAAAAATTTGATTTCATCAAATTAAAAATGTTTGGTCATCAAAATATTCCATTAAGAAAACAAAGGCAAACAAAAGTGGGAGAAAATGTTCATTATATCTAACAAAGGATTTGTATAAGGAACACATAAAGAACTCTTGCAATTCAACTCTTAATAAAGATAAATAGCCTCAGGAGAAAATGGGCTAAAGACTTGAATAGGCACCTTGCAAAAGATATGTGAATGGGAATAATCATATGAAAATGTGCTTAACACCATTAGTCATCAAAGAAATACAAACTAAAACCACAATGAGGTACAATTTCACCCACACTAGAATGGCCGTAATTAAAGGTACAATATCAAAGGTTGTCAAGGATTTGGAGCAACTGGAATCCTTACACTGTTGATTAGAGTGTAAAATTAGCAGAAAATATCTAGTAATTTCCTTTAAAGTTAAACATACTCTTACTAGATAACTCTGTAATTCTACTCCTGGGTATTTATTCAAGGACATAAAAATAAAAATGTACAAAGAGACTCTACAAGAATATTCATAGCAGCTTTATTCATAATGGCCCAAACTTGAAACAAACTATGTATTCATCAACAGCAGGACAATTAACTGATATATTTATACAATGTAATACTGCCCAGGAATAAAAGGAAACTACACATACATATTAACCACACAGATGAATTTGAATAACATTATCTGAGCAACAGAAGCCACACATGCACACAGTATGATTCCATTTATATGAAGTTCAAGAATAAACAAAATTAAACTATGTAGACAGAAAGTATAACACCAAGTAGCCTGGGGCTGTGGATGGGTGCAGATCAACTGGGAGGGTGAAGAGGGAACTTTCTGGGGTGAAAATATTATTCTGATTGGGGTAGAGGCTGCACAAGTGTGCATATTTACCAAAGCTTTTCAATTAAGTACACTTAAGATCTGTGAGTTTTGCCATGTAAATTCTACTTCGATTATAAAAAGCACACAAACACATATGTGTCTCTATACATTTTATGCTTGTTTTTGGAAATATTTACATTTTCTATCAATCTGCCCAAAATGTAGTTAGTTATCCAAAGATCACTTCTTTAGAAACTATGCTCTTTTCTAACCTTTGCCAGAAAAATATAGTCCTAGTACTCTAAACCAAGTAAAAACTTTTACATCTTTACTGTTCTTCATGATTTGTAAACCATGAATACATGGAAAATTTGATCCTCACAACTTCTGAGTCAGGCAGAAGAGGTCAAAGACGACCTCCTTATTCAAAGGTGAGGAAAGGCTGACCCCCAAGAGAGGAACTTTCCCAAACCACAGGGCCAGGTGGGCAGTCAGGTCTCTCGGGGGGTGTCCAGCACTCTGGTTTCTGTATCACGCCACCTCGACTTACCCAATCACGTGTACCTGTCCTTGATTACTCCATTCTACCAATCTGTCAATCTGTCTTTTTCCACTCTCCCTAAGCTCTTCTTCTGAGTGGTGTCCCTTTGGACTTTCTAGGTTCCTTCCACAAAAGGAGGCTGACTGATGCACGGTGTTAGAGAGAAACTCCCGGAGATGTCAGAATTACACCTGTCAAACCGAGAACTAGCAGGCCTTCACCACTCAAACATCTCTCTTTGTCTGGGACCAACTTTGGTTATTCAGAAATAATACTTCCTCACATCCTGGAGAGGGAAGGAGGGAAAGGGAGGGGGAGAGGGGGAGAGAGAGAAAGAGAATGAATGAATGAATGTGAATTTAAAAAAACCATCAACAAAGATCAGATGAAAAAGATTAACAAATATCCTCCCAAGGACAAAAACGCATGTATTAGACATTCCTCCTCCATGGGGCTACTGTCTCCATCCCCTGCCCTGACTCCATTATCCAACATCGTGGCTATACTGAATGTTTCTAGCAAAACAACTCAAAACGTTAGGTTTGGCGTCCCCCAAGATACACAGATGCGTTTGGAACTATCCACCTGCTTAACTAGGCGGGGGTGACGTCTGAAAACTGGTACGTCTTAATTTACAAAAGTCTCCTGTGTGTATGTATGCACAGGGGCTAAGTCAAGCCAAAACACAGCTTTAAGTGAGATTGTCTCGGCGACCTTCCTTCCTTAAAATAATTGAGACTGGAAGGTAGAGAGGATGTATTCCAAGTTGTGGGACGAAGATGAACAAATAGCCTTCGTTCTCCACTCTGGGGCATTTCCGTGTTTACAAAGAGCAAGTATGATTCTTAAACGAAGAGGGCATTTTAACTTAAATCGACCCATCTGTCGGAATTGGCAGATCTGCGCTAACAGCACTGACGCCAAAGGAGAGTCGGACAGGAGGCAATCCTGGAGCCGCAGTAGCCCCAGGATGACCTCTGGACGCAGCTCACGGTCCGGGTAGAGCGGACGGTGTGTCGGAACCGGAGCCTGCGGGGACTCTCTCCACCCCGCCCTGCCCCGACCCACTTCCCCTCCGCGGCCGCGCGGCCTTGCTCCCGGCAGCGCCCAGGCCCGGCCCGCGGAGACCTCCGGGGAGGCGAAGGCGGCGCCGCCGCCCGGCCAAGTCCTACGGCAACCACCCCGCACCCCGCGACCGCCCTCACCCGCAGCTCCGGCCGCCGCCCCCTCCGCCTGCTGTAGCATCGCCCTCGAGCCTGCCTTCTTCCTTGGCTGTTTCCGCCCCAAACACTGGCTCCAGCGCTAGGACAGTTTGAAAATGGCGCCGAGAGAGGATCCCGGCTGGTGCGCAGGAGGCGCCGCCGTTGCCTCGGTAACGGGAGCGGTACACCGGGAAGCGCGCGGCAAGAGCGCGCTCGGCGGCGGCGACGGCGGCGGCGGCGATGGCGGAGCTGGGCCCATGTCCCGGAAACGGGTCGGCTGGGGCGGTGCGAGGCCACGGCGCCCCCAGGCGGCCAGCAGACCCAGAAACTCAGAGGATGTCAGAGGTGGCGCCCGCCTCTGGGTCGGATGCGGGCTTAAAACGCGGCCCCAACCCGATTCCTGCAGAGGATTAACCTTCACGGACAAGGTGGACGTCTACTCACCAGGTAAACTCCAGCTTAAAAGTCACGTCTTTGCAGCTTTCCCCCGACAGCTATCCAATACAACCTTTGCTCCCACACCCATGTCCCAATAAGGCTCTGTAAAGATCCTTACACAGCCAGCCCTCAGCCTGTTGACTTTAAGCAAAAGGATGTGTAACAAAACCAATTCATCATAGGCTAGTTGATCAAACAAGAACTACTGCATATTTCTGGTCACAAAAACATCACCAAATGTACCAAAAAAGACTCAAAACACCTTTAATATTAAACATTGAAATAAATGTGATCTATACATATATTTAAGAAAGAGTAATTAAAATAAGTAACATTATTTTCCAACCTGCTTATTCCCGCTCTGGGCAGCTGGTGGCCAGAGCCTATTCCTGAAGCTCAGGGCACAAGATGGACCCATTCTGAACAGGATGCCCTTCCAGCCCAGGGTGCACTCACACCCACACCCACACCCTCTCAGACAGGGACAATCTGGACACCCCAAGTAACCCAAATTGCACATTTTTGGGATGGAGGAGGAAACCAGAGGCGCAGAGAAAGCCCACACAGATGAGGGGAGAACAAACTACACAGACAGTGGCCCCTGCCAGGATTTTTTTTTCTCATCAATGTGATAACAAAAGGACCTTTAACAAAAGGATATTATTGAAGGACCTGCTGTGTTATAGAATTCATCTCACTAAAAAACATAATTATTTGTTTCTATAGCTTTCCCTGATGCCCCTAATTATGAATTTCTTTAGTTAGAGATTATCTTATTCAGCTATGTTTATTTAGCACTGACCATATTAAGCATTTGCAAATGTAATTAAATTTAAATCATCCGGTTTTAAAGAACCTCCTCACATAAGGAAGGCACATAATCAAACCCTAGAATTCTATTTCTCTCCTGCGATCTTCTGCGTGATGAGAGAGGAACTCAATTCCTTTCTATTTACTACTTTTCCAAGTAGGCCTTCCATTCTGAACATGTACTTTTTGTCTATCATGTAACTGCACTACAGTTGCGAATCATTTTGTAGACATTCATACATTGCTTCACCACTTCTGCTTTGTGTGCCTTGTCTGTTTCCCTCCTGCCTGCCTGCCTTAATGAGCTGTTGCATGGAATTTCAAGGAGACCATGAGTTAGTTTCTGTAGATGTCTTTTGTAGTCTTGGAACAGGTACAATTATTTTCTGCTGAGCAGCAATTATTTTTAAAACAGGGAGCCATAAACAAATTAATATCATAGCAAAATGGCTATACAACAGCCATCCAGTCTAGGTAACTTTTTGGCTCCCCTTTGCCCCAAATACAAAGCACTCAGAAGATGTAAATATGAGATCCTTTCATAGTTCTGAAGGCCAGAAGTCTGCAATTGAGGAGGCATCATCAGGGCCACACTCCCTCTAGAGGCTCTAGGGAAGAATCCTTGCTTGCATTTTCCAGTTTCCAGTTGGCATTCATGGCTTCCTTGGCTTGTGACCACATCAATCCAGTCTCTGCCTCCATCTCCACAATGCCCTCTTCTCTGTATCTGTCAAATGTCCTCTGTGTCTCTGTATAAGGACACTTGTCATTGGAGTTAGAGCCCACCGGGCTAATCCAGATGATCTCTTCAATTCTAGGTCCTTAATTATATCTGCAAAGATCCATTTTCCCAAATAAGGTAACATTGGATGATTCTGGGGATTAGGATGTAGACAAATCCTTGGAGGGGCTGCTTTTCAACATGCCACACTCCCCTAGTTCTTGACATTTTTATTTAGTTGGGGTGAGCAGGAAGATGAGACCATGTTACATATCCTACAGAGCCTTACATTTGCATAAAGGTTTTTCATTTTCCATTTTCTTCCACCCTTCCTCCTTCCTTTCAGTTAAAAGCCAAGAATTTTCCATCTTTGTTTATTTGTCTAGCTGTGGCTGGGGTAGGAGAGGGATGGGAAGGCTCCAGGTAAAAGTGGAAGAATTCAGTGACACATAAGAGCAGCAGAGCAGCGTACAAAATAGCATCTTCTTGGAAGTTAGATTATAAAGCCAGCCTATAAGGCAAATATCACATATTATTAAATTAAATTTTTACTAAATCACATTCGGAAGAGGAAATTGCAACTGACTGGTAAACAGCACATCAGCATTTTCCATTATTCAGTTGTGACTTTTCTTTTGCCTTCTTTCTGTACTTCTTGACTGAGAGCATTTTCTTAAATTTATGTTAGTAAGTACTTATGATAAAACTCCTTTACATATCGTTATGGGTTGAATTGTGTCTTCCCCAAAATTCATATGTTGAAATGTCACCTTCTTTGGGAGTAGGGTCATTGTAGATAAAATTGTTTAAGATAAAGTCATAGTGGAGTGGGGTAGGCCCCTAATCTAATATCCCTGTTGTCCTTATAAAAAGAATGGCATGTGAGGATAAAGGGACACAAAGAGAGGGAAGACAGTGTGAAGACACAGGGAGAACCCCTTGTGTAAGGAAAGTCCAATGAATATTCCTAGCAGGCCCCCCAGAAGTTAGGAGAGCAGCCTGGAACAGATTCTGTCTGATTCACAGCTCTCAGGAGGAACCAGCCCTGCCGACACCTTCTTGGACTCATCTTGGACTTCTGGCCTCCGGAAATGTGAAACAATAAATTTCTTTTGTTTAAAGTACCCAATCTGTTGTACTTTGTTCCAGCAGCCCTAACAAGCGAGTACATATATGTTTAGATGCCACTTTATGGCACGGAATAAATGGCACAGGAATTCACAAAAGAAAAAAAAAATCCTCTGAGGACAAGAACAACCACTCAAATTTGCATTGAGCAGATGGGACTTGGAGTTGAACCTTGAAGCAACCATAACTTGAATGCGCACAGAAGAGGGAGAGAGAGGTCTGGGCAAGGGAGAAAGGGGAGGAGGTAATATGATGAGCCAGACACTGTTGCGAAGCGTGGTTGCTTGGATGACAACAAAGGCAGCTGTCTGATGGGCAGGGCAGCATGATAAGACTGGGAGTGGACAGGGACATCACATGACTAAAGGACTCAGCAAATGTTAGATTTCAGTGGTTGAATTTTACCCACTATGTGCTAGAGAGTTAGTGAACATTTTAAAACAAGAAAATCACATAATGAAATTAGTTTGGGGAAAATTATTCTGGGTGGTAGGAGGATGGAATGGTGAATGGTGTAGAAAATGTTACTATGTAGGACAAGAGTTAGAAGATTATTTTAATAATGAGATAAAGGTCTGAGGGAAATACGAGAACTATTACAAAGGAAGAATGGGCAGGGCAGAGTGAGGGACCAGACTCTGAGTGAAGGAGCAGAAGGAATCCAGGTGACTGTCGAGGCTTTCAGCTTCAGAGACTGAACAGTGTGTTTCCATGAAATGGTATTATTAGAAACTCATGCAGGAGTGTGCTGGGGGAGGAAGGGGACAAGGGGTAGTTAGTAAGTTCCACCTGTGATATCAGGGGCTTGAAGTGATATCACAAAAGTGTCCAGGTGTGGCATAATGAGAGATGTTTGGTCCTTATCCCTGGGCCTGGCACCAAGCTTCTAAGTCCTTGGAATTTTCTTGTGACAAGGGTAATAGGACTGTCTTTTGTTCTAATTAGGTGATTCTCAGCAGGGCCCTGGATAGCTTCAGGATGGGGGTTAGAAAGACTAAGCTTTCATTAGAAGCTTGGAACTTTCAGCCTCACTCCCCAACATCTAGAGAGGGGACAGGGAGATTGAGATAATCACCAATTTCCAATGATTTGATCAATTGTACCTATGTAATAGAACCTCCATAAAAATCCTAAATGACAGGATTTGAAGAATCTGGGTTGGTGAGCACACCGAGGAGCTGGGAGGGTGGAACCCCTGGAGAGGGCATGGGAACTCCACGCTCCTTTCCCCGTACCTGGCCCCGTGCATCTCTGCCTTCTGGCTTTGTATAGTACATAGGTAACAGTAAGTACTCTGTCTTCCTGAGTTCTGTGAGCCATCCTAGGAAATCCTCTAACCTGAAAAGGGTCATGGGAACCCCCGATCTATAGCCGGTCAGAAGTACAGGAGGCCCAGGGCTTGTGACTGGCATCTGAAGTGGGAGGGAGTCTTGTGAGACTGAACCCTGACCCTGTGTCATCTGCGAAACTCTGGCTGTCAGTGTCAGACTTGAGCTTTGGACCAGTGGATGTCCTGAGAGTTGGAGAGGCAGTTTTGTAAAAGGCACCATGTATTTGGTGTCAGGAGGTAGGGTGGGGACTCTCTCATTGGATGTCATCTGTGTTTGAGTAAAAATGACTCACGAGGAAACACCTGGGCACATATGCAGGTAATGTGTAAGAGGAACCTGACAGAGATACATCGAGGCTGTTTTCCAGGGTTTTTCTCTATATACTGTGCCTGGATGCTAACTCTATTGTATTCATTGATTATCCTGTTTCTGTCTTTATTTATTTATTTTTATCCTCATCTGAGGACATTTTTTTTTCATTGCTTTTAGTTGGGGAGAGAGAGAGAAAGACAGAAAGAGAAACTTTGATGTGAGAGAGAAACATCAGTTGGCTGCCTCCTCATACACTTCCCGACTGGGAATTAAACCTGTAACCTGGGCATGTGCCCTGACCAGGAATCAAACCCGTGACCTTTTGGCCTATAGATCGACACTCCAGCTGAGCCTCACGGGCCAGGGCCTGTTTCTGTCTTTAGATTGTGAGCTCCTTACAGTACACAGAAGATTAATGTGTTCTCTATACCCATAACCCAACCAGAGTATCTGGAGTTTAATAAAAGATCAAAAACAATGTGAATTGAATCAAGTTGAATTGAAGTGAACTGAACTGAACTGAATGAAGGAGGCCTTCTCACACCAAGACTAGTTAGTATGGCAAAGTTGCCTGCCTTCGGTGAGTAGCCCAGAGATAGGACTAAAATGCCCTTAGTATTGCCGG